CCTAGTGGCGGTGGAGTTGCGGGTGACCCTGCTGGAGGTCCTGGAGCTGGACAGCCACCGCAGCCTGATCTACTTGAGACGCTCTCGCTGCAGGCGATTCGTGTGTGGATCGTTCGGCGAGGCAGTCCTGGTGGTCGAGGGTACGGTCCTGCTGGTGCTGGAGCTGCTAGTCCTGAAGGTACTGCTGGTGCTGGAGGTGCTGGGGGTACTGCTGGAGGTACTGGAGGTGATGATGGTGCTTGAGGTACTGGAGCTGCTAGAGCTGGAGGTCCTGCTAGTGCTGGAGGTGCTGCTGGAGGTGCTGGAGGTGCTGGAGCTGCTCGTCCTGCTGGTACTGGAGTTGCTGGAGGTGCTGGAGCTGCTGGTGCTGGAGGTACTAGAGGTGCTAGTGCTTGAGGTGCTGGAGCTACCACTGCTGGAGGTGGTGCAAGTGCTGGAGGTACTGGAGCTGGAGGTGCTGGAGGTGCTGGAGGTGCTGGCGCTGCTAGTCCTGCTGGTACTGGAGGTGCTGGAGGTGCTGGAGCTGCTGGTGCTGGAGGTACTAGAGCTGCTAGTGCTGGAGGTGCTAGAGCTACCATTGCTGGAGGTGCTGCTGGTGCTGGAGGTACTGGAGCTGCTAGTGCTGGAGGTGCTACTGGTGCTGGAGGTGCTGCTGGAGGTGCTGGAGGTGCTGGAGCTGCTAGTTCTGCTAGTACTGGAGGTGCTGGAGGTGCTGCTGGTGCTGGAGGTGCTGGAGCTACTGGTGCTGGAGGTACTGCTGGTACTGGAGGTGCTGGACCTGCTGGTGCGCTTCGCCACCTTCTCGGTCTTCCGCCAGCTCCTATTGAGTTCCCAGTCGCTGGTACTACTCCTCCGTTACTGTTCCCACAGCTACTGCCTCACTCCCCACTGCCTGCTCCTGCTCCTTACACTGCTGTGACAGAGTCCCTGACTGAGCGTCGAGAGCCCGAGACTCGTGCTTCCACTCCTGAGCGTCGAGAGCCTGAGAATAGAGCTTCCGTTCCTGCTCGTGTTCGTCGTGTGCGTCGTCCTCGTGCTCCGGCTGTCCCAGGCACTCACGATATGACACTCAGCCTTCCTTTGTTCCACAGCGTGTTGTCCTGCCGTCACCTCATGCGTCTTCTCTTCCGCACATTCCTGACCCTCCTTCTGACATTGCTCGTGCTTCCAGTCCGTCTGTCACTCGCTTTCTTGCTACAGTTGTGACGGACCCTACGTTCTCGTCTCCTGCTGCGTCTGCCTTCGTCGCTGAGCTTGTTGACTTTGCTGCTGTGTACCGCCTAGACTACCTTGCGAGTCTTGTTTCTGACCCTGACCTTGCCTGTCCTCCGTCCGTCGGGGGTGAGGTTGCCCTCGGCTGTGACGTTCTTGAGGACAGACAGGAGGAGCTGGAGTGTCTTGCGGCCGCTGTACCTCATCTCGCGACCATGCTGCTTGCCCCTGAGGGAGACCCGGATGCACTTGACATCCCCACCCCGCGTTCTTACAGAGAGGCGATCTCGGGTGAGTACTCCTCTCAGTGGCAGACAACCATGGACGCAGAGATGGCTTCCTGGAAGTCCACAGGCACCTACGTCGACGAGGTTCCCCCACCTGGGGCGAACATCGTCAGTGGCATGTGGATTTTCAGGGTGAAGCGGCCGCCGGGTTCTCCGCCTGCCTTCAAGGCACGTTACGTTGCTCGAGGCTTCAGTCAGCGTGAGAGGGTCGACTTCTTTCAGACCTTCTCCCCCACCCCAAAGATGACCACTCTTCGGGTGTTGCTACACGTTGCAGCTCAGCGTGACTACGAGCTACACTCCCTCGACTTCTCGACAGCTTTCTTGCAGGGTAGCCTTCACGAGGCCATCTGGCTGCGCCGTCCACCTAGCTTCACTGGGTCGTTTCCTGAGGGTACCCAGTGGAGCCTACGGCGACCAGTGTACGGCCTGCGTCAGGCACCTCGCGAGTGGCACGACACACTGAGGACGACACTTGCAGCTCTTGGGTTTGCTCCTTCGACTGCTGACCCGTCGCTCTTTCTGCGCACCGACACTACCCTGCCGCCGTTCTACGTTCTCGTGTACGCCGACGACTTGGTTTTTGCTACTGCTGACATGGAGGCGCTGGCCCTAGTGAAGGCGGAGCTGCAGGAGAGATACACCTGCACTGACCTGGGTGAGCTGCGGAGCTATCTTGGCTTGCAGATCACTCGGGACAGAACATGGCGCACCATCACCCTGACTGAGTCACACATGGTGCACCAGGTCCTTCAGCGCTTCGGCTTCCAGTTCTCGTCGCCACAGCCCTCTCCTCTGTCTACCGGCCACTCGCTCTCAGCTCCACCTTCGGCCGAGTCCGTAGAGCCGAGTGGTCCGTACCCAGAGCTTGTGGGTTGCCTCATGTATCTGATGACGTGCACACAACCTGACCTCGCGTACCCTATCAGCCTTCTGGCTCGCTACGTGGCTCCCGGTAGACACCGAAATGTGCATTAGGATGCTGCGAAGAGGGTACTGCGTTACTTGTGCAGTACATCGGGCATGGGGCTCGTGCTTGGAGGACGGGGTTCAGTGGTACTCACAGGACACTCCGACAACAAGGCAATGCTTGCCTTGTGTCGCGAGCAGATACTGGAGCACAGAACGAAGCACATTGCTCTTCGCTACTTCCTTGCGCGTGAGCTGCAGCAGCGTGGTCAGCTGCACCTTGCTTACGTGGCCTCTCGGGCCAACACTACTGATGTCTTCACCAAGGCCCTTGGGTCTGGTGATCATCAGCGCTTCTGCACTGCTCTTGGGCTTGTGCCCACTCTGCCTCACCTACTGGTTGCTTGACTTGCTTTTGTTGTACACTGATATATATATCTTTATACCTGCTTGTTTACTCTTGCTAGGTTGTGATCAGTGTACTGCCTTGCTATTATAACTCTGCATGTGAACTGGCCTTGTGGCCACTTGCTTGTGCTCAGATTGTGTGGTGTCCTTGAGATCCACCCTGAGCTGTGCTTTGCTTTGTTCTCTTGCTTGACTGGTCTTGTGACCGTTTGTTGTGTTTGCTATCTCCCACTTAGCCTATGGGGGTGTGTCAAACTATATGTTTGTGTTCTCTCTAGACTATAGTGGGTTAGCCTACAAGGGGTACAACACTTTAGGGTTAGTACTTGTACCCAACTCATTCATAGTTCATTCATTCCTGCACAGTTGATTCTGACACAGTGTTGCCGATCCACTGGTACTGTCTCCAGCCTTGGTCGGGCAGTGTGGGCGGTCTATAAGAGTGGCGGCCAGGGAGTGGGAGCCAGGGAGTGGCGGCCAGGGAGTGGCGTCCAGGGAGTGGCGGTACGGGAGATTACGCGCCGCTGTTAGCGCGCAACCGGGGAGTGCAGTTCACCCCTTTGATTGTTGAGACATGGGGATGCCTAGGTGGACGTTTTCGGCGTTGGCTGCGGCAGCTGCGGGACGCACATTTTGGACTTGCCGTTTCGAGGGGGGCGTGTCGGGAGGATGATCAGTCATTTTCCTATTATCTCATGGGATCCTTGAAGGCTATGATTGGGGTGGCCTTGCAGCGTGCCCAAGCTCGAGTCATCCTGCTTCGCGCTGCATCGTCTATGGGCGTGTAGGGCAGTTGGGCACCAGATGTCGATCTGGTGGACAGGGAGAGGGAGGACACTGAGGAGTTGGGGGGGGGGGGGGCACTGTGGGTGGACGCTCAGTATTTGGTGTCCACTCCGGTTTGAGGGGCGTCGGGGGGGGGGGGGGGGGGGGGGGGGGGGGGGGGGGGGGTGGGTTTAGGTGAAGGGGGCTTTTAGATAGGGTGTCTTCTTGGGGTGTCATCTGTGTTGTGCTTTTGGGTCTCTCTTGGCTTTACTTTCCCTATTCCTTTCCTTTCCCATTTCCTTTCCTTTTCTTCTCTTTCTCTTTTTTCTCTTCCCGTCTCCATTTACCTTTTCTGCGAGTATGTTTTGCTTGTGGTTTCCTTTTGTGGACCCTTATATTTTGTCCTTATGTTGGTTAAAAAAAGGAAAAAGAAAATCGGTAGTACCCGTTTTTGGTTTCATCCGGAAAGATGAGTGGTACAGTGAAATCAAAAGGAAAGGTTTTTTATATTTATGTCTTGAACCCGTTATTGAGTGGTTTGTAGCAACAACCATAATTCGGCCGTAGCATTTGCAAAGTCATTTTCTTTGTTACTTTGGTAAGCTTTCCCAGGTCACAAGACGTTCATAATGTTTCATGAGTAATCTTATATCGGGCTCATTGCAAGTGTGCTCTGTTTGGCTCACAGAGAATATCCATTTGACACCCGCAGACCCAGAATGTTTGGCGAGGCGACCATGCGATGACCCACGGTCCCACCGCTGCCTAACCAAACCACCCTGCCACCGTCACCCAGCCACTCGGTGGGCTTCCCGCCAACGCGGTACTGACCCGGCCACGCCACTCCACTCTGCATTGCGGCGCCAAAATTCCGCCAGCCCTCCCCCGCTGGAGCGTTCCCCTTTCCCCGCACTCTTACCGCGCATATAGTAGAGCGGAAAGCTGATGAGGGTGGGGTGGGGGGAAAAATAGGTGGGAGGGCAGCGCTCCAGTCGCGCAACGGTTGCACTGCAGTTGTTTCGTTGCCATTGTTGGTCGTTGAGATCCCTTCCCATACCATACCGATCCCACATTTCACTTTCCGCTCCTCCTCACCTTGCTCACCAACGAAACGGGGTGTCATTGTTGCAGCTGCTTCACTTCTCTCACATCCCGCCAGTCGCCTTTTCGGAAGCGCATCTTTTTCGCTTTTCCGTTTATCTGTCGTAGTCACTCAAGTCACACTCCGGCCTTGCATCCCGATCCAGTTGATCTATTAGCGCACTAGCTTGTTCGAGCGTTTGTTCCTATTTTTTTACCTTCCAGCAGGTAAAACCTTCCAGCAGCCTATTTTTTTAGCTTGGCATCTTTTGATCTCGAATCTCGCCAGCACCCACACGGGCAAACCTTCGCACGCGAAGTCGTGACATACCTTGCGCAATGGCCTCTACCAAGGGGCTCGTCCCGATCACGCGAAGTTTCCTCGCCGCGTTCTACGCGAAGCACCCGTTCGATCCTCTGCACGACGACGTGGAGAAGCTCTTCGCGCGCCTCACGGAGCTCAGCGAGGGAATCGATGCCAAGCGCGTCGCCACAGAAGGTTCGCTACGGCCTCTTCCCACCTCGCTTAGCTTTTCTCACTCTTCCCAATTTCCACTCCGTAGGATCTGTCCGTTCGTAGATTCATTTGCATCTGGTGGTGATCCTCGGCATGCTTCGATGGTGGATTTTTTTCCTCGTTCCGGTTCTTTTCCTGCTAGCAATGTTCTTGGTTCGGAAAAGACGCTGCGATCAGATAAAGTTAACTCAATGCTGATAAGGGGTAGTAGGACCTAGTGCAAAAGGAGCAAGGTAAATGTGAGTTTGAAATCATGCAGTTTCCACCATTCTCACAATATAGTATTGTCAGTGGTATATTATATTTTTTTCATAAAAGTCGACCCGCTTTATCTTCAAGAAAAGGCATCTTTGGGCTCTTCAAATAGTTTTCCATGAGTTTCGCGCATCAAAATTGGAGGGCAGCGTGAATCTTATCCAATGCGAGCAGCTGCGATGCAGATCTGGCAAATATATGTTCTGGTGCATGTTATCGTTCTGGCGTGTACAACATGGACCCCGGACATCGAATTTATCCTCGTTCTTTCGCTTATGCTTATGCGTATGCTTCTGCGTTTGGGACGCGACTGCTTGCATGCACGTCCGTTAATGTTCGGGATCTCCTCTGTGCGTGCGTGCGTGTCGATGGGCGTATGATTGTGCTCCACAGGCGAAGAGAAGGGACTGTTAGCCTCGTTATTGCTCGAGGCGCCGCACAAGCTGGACGAAAACTTCTGGAAGAATCGCGAGCAGATCGAGGAGATTCTGTTTCTTCTAGATGATGCTCAACTGCCTGCTGCGGTAAGCACTGCGCTACTATCCTGTCCTCCGCCTCTTAGAAAGAAACCTCGTTCGCGGTGATGTCAAAGATCGTCGTAACCCTATTCGTTCCGTCGCGCATCGTCGTGCGGGATCCTATTGTCACTTGTTTCCTCTCGTTTCTGTCCGCCATCCTGAACCCGCGTACGATGTAACCCCACCCCCCGCCCTCCCCCTCCCCTTTTTCTTTTCCGTAACCTTTCCTTTGTTGGTGACTACTTCCTCATCCGTGCGCTCGTGCGCGTGTTTGTTAATTTCTCGCGCGCACACACGTTTGCCACCCACCCACCCTACCCCTCCCCTTCCCCGCCCTCCCCTCCCCCGCCCTCTTCTCCCCCTCCCTCCCATCCCCTCCCCTCCCCTCCCCTCCCCTCCCCTCCCCTCCCCTCCCCTCCCCTCCCCTCCCCTCCCCTCCCCTACCCTCCCCTCCTCTCCCCTTCCCCTCCCTTCATGTGCACGAAACGCCAGGTTAAGGCGGGCGAATCGCCGGCGGGGAAAGCAGCAGCGGAGGCAGTTGGGAAGTGGAAGGAAGAGCTGCAGGCGACGGTGGGCTTGATTGAGAAGTTTCAAGAAGTCACCAGCGAACGCATCACCAGCATGGGTACGTTATCCTCGTTATCGAAGTGGGTGTGATTGCTCGCCACAAGCACAGTGTGATATTGCTTGTTTTAAGACAATATACAGCATAGATGTACCTGTGATCCCACCCTTACCTCGACTGCACCTGCACGACTCGCTCTTCCCCAGGCAGTCCCCCCTCGGCCTCTCTTGCGCCGCTCTCCCCCCTCTCTCTTTCCGATTCCTTTTCCCTTTTCCCCGTTCTTCCCCGGTCCCCTTTTCCCCGTTCTTCCCCGGTCCCCTTGTCCCCTTCCACCCCCCATCCCCGCCCCTCCGCGCCCCGCCCCGCCACGCGCGGCGCAGTGTTCACGTACATGCCGCAGGACTTCCGCGGCACGCTGCTGAAGCAGCAGAAGGAGCGGTCGGAGGCGCGGCGCAAGCAGGAGGTGGCGAACCTCGTCACCAACGGCGGCACCATCAAGCAGAAATACGCGCTGCTCTGGCAGCAGCAGATGGACAGGTGCGCGCTGCGCGTGGTTGTGTGTGGGGGGTGTGTGTGTGCGCGCGCGCGCGCGTGTGTTGCGCAGTGCGGGGTGGTGTAACGGGGGGGACGGGCGCGGAGTATCGGGGGAAAAGGGAGGGGAAGGGGAGGGAGGGAGGAATCTTGAAGATGCGTGGGGAAACAACGCATTGCAGCACACAAGTAGCCCACAGATTGCAACTTGTGATCGCACATAAAGATCTCTCTCCTCTCGCATCGTCAGCTCTTCCTTTCCTCTTCGCCGTCTCCCTCCTTCCTTCTTCTTGCACCCCTCCCAATGTTGTTCCTACCGCTTCCCTCTCTCCTTCAAGCTTTTCCTCTTACTTGCTCAACCAGTCACTCTTCCTGCCCCCCACTCCCTGCCCACTTCCGCTTCCCACAATGCCAATCCCTGTCTCTGTCACTCATCTTCTCTCTCCCCCTCCTCCCTCCCTCTCTTCCTCTCTCCTCCCCTCCTCCCTCCGGTGCATGGGCACCAGGCGGCACACGCTGGCGTCGCTGGGAGCAGCAACGGGCATTTACCGCACGCTTGTCACCTACCTAGTTGGCGTGCCACAGGTCAGGTCCTTCTCTCTCACTAGGTGACTCTTGAGTTGACTCAAACGTCACACGGGCGTCGCTGGGAGCAGCGACGGGCATCTACCAAACTCTTGTCACCTACCTAGTTGGTGTGCCACAGGTCAGCTCAACCTTCTCTCTCACTCCCTCTCCTCTCTACTCCACGCTGCCGCAGGCCATTCCTATCCTCGCTTCTCCTCCGCTCCCTCTCTGCCCCTTATCGTTCCTCTCCGCTCCGCCCCTTTCTCTCTCTCCCTCTCTGTCTCCAGCCTCGTTCTCGTGCTCTTCGCTCCAGGCCGCTATGCTCTGTTCTTCTCCCCACCACCTGTCTCTGGTTTTCCCACTTGTGATTGTGGTTCGCATTGCCCCAATTCTTCTCTTCCCAGTCCGTCTTTACTTGCCTCTCACATGCACGTTCCTTGTTCCCCTTCCCAACCCTCTCACTCGTCCACCTCATTCGATCTTCCATCCTTCCTGTTCTCTCCTCTCCTCATTCTTCCCTCCGACCCCCCCTCGCCCCCCCCTTCTTGTAATGCATGCAGATCCTTCTTGAGTTTGTCAAGTCTATCAATGACCACAACGGGTACTCCTCTCCTCTCCTCTCCTCTCCTCTCTCGTCTCCTCTTGTCTCCTCTCCTCTCCTCTGCTCTCCTCTGCTCTCCTCTCCTCTCCCCTCCATCTTTCTCTCTACCACTCCCCCTTTCTTTCTCCACTTCTCCCTGTTTTCTGTCTCTCTCTCTTGCCTGTTCTGCTCGGCCCCTCCCCCACGGCCGACTCTTCCTCCTCCCCTCGCCCCACCCCTGCCGTTCTTCTCTCTTTCCCTGCTTCTCGGTCACCAATCCACTCAATCTCGCCTCCGCCATCCACTCCGCCCCCCGCCCCTGCTGTCTGTGTCCGCTTGTCTGCGCATGCAGCCCCATGGAGGAGATTGTTGAGGCGCCTCAAAAACCCCCCACCCCTGTTGTCCGTGTCTGTGTGTCCGCGCGCTGGGCTGTGTGCAGGCCGATGGAGGAGCAGCGGCTGTCGTACGGGCCGCCGCTGTACCGCCTCACGGAGCTCGCCAACCGCTTGCACATCTTCCTCGCGCTCTGGTGGTCCTCCTTCGACGAATGCACCGAGTCAGTGCGGGGAGGGGGAGTGGGGGGAGAGGTTGGGGGGAGGTGGGGGTGAGGGAGAGGGGGGGGGGAGGGGAGGCAGGGTAAGAGGGGTGAGTGCGATGGGAGGGGACGGGAGGATTTTGTAAATGGCAACCGCTCCAGAATTGCCAACCGCTTGCACATCTTCCTCGCGCTCTGGTGGTCCTCCTTCGACGAATGCACCGAGTCAGTGGTGGGGGGAGGGGGGGCAGGATGGGTGGGGGGAAAGTGGGGGTTGAACAGGGGAGGGAGGGCGGACCAAGGTCTATTTTGAGTCTATTCAAGCAGAATGCGCATCTTGCTCTTGCTCTGGTGGTCCTCCTTCGATGACTGTGTGCGGGGGTGGGGGTGGGCACGTCTTGGAGGGAAGCAGCGGGAAGGGGAGGAGAGGGGAGGGGAAGGAGAGGGGAGGCGAGGATTGGGGGGAGGGGAGGAGTGGGAAGTTAAGGGAGGCAGGGGAAATGGAGGAAATGAATGAATGAAATGCTTGGCTATTCGTTTCCCCCGTCCCCCACTTTTTTCCTTTAGTCCGTCCCGCTCACTCTCGCTTGTGTCTCCTTCCTTGCCTCTGTTTCCTGTGGTTTCACATTCACTCGGTGTTGGTGGGGTGGGCACACAGGAATGCGTCTGACTACGTCGGCGTGGTGAGCGAAGCTGCAGCTATCTACTCCAAGGAGATTGCACGATTCCTCACGCTCCTCAGGTGCCTACTGTGTGCAAGCATGCATTCACGGATGCTTGCTTGTCTGAGTGCATGCTTGAGTGCTGTGCTTGTCTGCATCGTTGTGCGCGTTTGTGGTTGGGGGGCAGACGACTCGTTTGAGGGTGCCAAGCGTTGTCAAGAGCATGTGCTCATAGAAACGGTTAGATATAAGTTGTTATTAAGAATCGTGGATTCAGGTATGCGAGAGTGGATTAACCACGTGCATGCCATTCCTCCTCCCCTCGTTGGCCTCTTTGGGCTCTCACTTTCTCATCCCTCGTCTGTTCCTTGCTGTCTGCTGTCCCCTACGCACTCCCCCCCTTCCCTTCCCCCTTCTTCCGCCCCCTTCTCCCGGCCCTTGTGTGTGTGCGTGTGCAGCGATGTGTTTGAGCAGTCGCCGTTCTTGATATCTCCAGAGGAGGCCATGTCTGCTGAGGATAAGAGGTGCGTGTCATTGTGTGCCGCTGTGTGCCATGCCGTGCCGTGCCGTGCCCACGCCTTGCTCATGTGCTCGCTTCGCTTCACACCGCCACCATGCTCGCTCCCCACTGCCAGCCATGCTCGCCTCGCGCTACACCACCATGCCTGCAGCAAATCTGGCCAGGAGTGCATAGCATACCCGACTCCCCGTTTCCCTCGTCTCTCCCTTCTGATCCACGGCCCAGTTGCATCCCGTGCACCGCACACACCAATCCCACCATTGCTCCTTCCCCTCCCCCCCCCCTCTTCTCCCCCTCCCCGTTCGCCCGGCCATGGCGTGTGCACCCATGGCAGCAAGCTGGAGGAGTTCAAGGAGCTCAACATCGCATATGGCCAGAGCTCCCAGGTATGCATTGCCATGCCACGCCACGCCGCGCCACGCCATGCCACGCCATACCATACCATGCCATGCCATGCCATGCCACCCCGTGCCTTTCCATTCCCGCAATGTATGTGATTGCCCTTCCTTTCCAGTTCACATCCTCTCCACTCCTGTCTGCTCTGTCTCCCCTCCATTCCTCTCTCTGTTCTGGCCCTCACCCGTCCGTATCTTTCCCGTTGCTTCTCCCATCTACTCCCCCTTTCACCCCTTCCACACTCCCATCTGCGTGCCTGTGTGTGTGTGTCTGTGTGCCACCAGGTGCCAGTGACAGTGGATGCAGTGGGCACCCTGGTGGCCTGGGAATTCAGCCTCACTTATGGCAAGGTACGATTGTTGTTGAGTCAATGTTTGAGACGCCTCAAAATTGTTTCAACCTCACTTACGGCAAGGTACGATTGTTGTTGCCGATTGTCCTGATTGCTTGTCCCCTGTGCCATGATCCTGGCTGGCTTGTGCTTGTCCCACCGCACCGCACTCACACCACCCTGTCCTGTGTGTGCCATGGTTCCGTGCATCAGGATATCGGTTTCAACGTGGAATACACTGCAGAAGACGGCACCAAAACGGTCAGTGCTCACTCTCCCATCCCGACCCTCTGTTGAACGCCACTCACCGTCCCCGTTTTCTTCACTTTCCCTTCTCCTAAGACTTTTATTTTTCCTGTGGTGCTTCCCCCGCCCCTTCTCTTACTTCATTTCGTGTGGCATTGGAACCATCCGCCTGACTTTCTCCACTCTTCTCTCATCGTCCTGCCTCTGGGGGGGTCAAATCCGTACTATGATCAACCCTGCAGAACGTCCACCCACCTCCCTCGCCCCCCTTTTTTCACCGCTTCATTTCCTAAACGCCCTCTCGCATCTGTTCGAGCACTGTCTGAGATCCTTAGTCCACCTAGTAATAGACATGGGCTGCTCACATAACAAACATCCACCCACAAGTCACTCCTCGATCCCTGTCTTGGCCACACATCGTTCTCATCCGTGCTGCCTTGCACTGCCGCTGCCTCTCTGTGTGTTTGACTTGCTCCAGGGCATGGTGCCGTACCAAAAAGTGGACAAGCATGAGGTGCGTGTGTATTGCTCCTGCGATGCTTCATCACGTGCTCATCCTTCCGTTCCTGCACTGTTGTCTCTTAATTGATTTCTAGTCCTAAGCGTAGCAAGGGAACTCGTTTCGTACTTTTCCTACGTACGACCCTTTTATCTGCACCTTCCTCCCCCCTGCCCCTCTACCCCCTCTTTAACCTGTGCTTTTTTTTTCCATTCCGCTACTTGCCCTGCATCGTGGTGTGGTGTGTGTGCTGTGTGGTCTGTGTGCTGTTTGCTGTGTGGTGCAGGGGAGCTTCAATGCGCCTGCAGTGGGCTCGTATACCATCACATGGGACAACACCTACTCCCTCCTCACAAAGAAGGTCATACCCCCACCTGCCCACCCGCACTCTCCTCCCTCTCCTTCGGGGAGACATACACACTTTTCATCTGCTCTCCCTCCTGTTACTGCCTTGCACACTCATGGTAGTCTTTTTCTGTCTCTCCCTGGTCCCTGTCCCTGTCTCTGTCCCTGTCCCTGTCCCTGTCTCTGTCCCTGTCCCTGATCCTATCCCTCTGTCCCTCTGTCTGTGTCTCCATGTGAGTGCATACCAGACTGTGCGATACAAGGTGGGAGCCATTCCCCCAGTGGAGACAGAGGAAGAGTTGAAAGCAGAGGAAGCTCTGTCACACCCAGAGAAGCAAGGCGATGCCAGCACACCTACTGCTGCTGATGCAGATGCAGGTGTGGCTGATGCTACACCTGCTTCAGAAGCTGACGCTGCCACCACTTGAACTACTGTACCATGCTGACTATACTTGGTCCACAGTTGAGGTTTTCCACATAGACTGGTTAGCACAGGTGTAATTGATGGTGTAGTACACATTGAAATTGGGGTTATGGCGCAGCATTGTGTACTTTGCCCTTGTTATGTAGCACAGATTCTTGAATGTCGTTAGAGCTAGCGTATGGAGTTGCTTTGAAAAAAAACACCTGCAATTTTTAACCTACTGCGTAACAGAGTTTCCAAATGAACGTACCGAGATGTATTCTGAAAACCTTGTAGGGGAGCTGTCTATACAACGGATACTTCACAGTGAGATGTTCTCCCGGCCAGTGCGGCTCGCTACCACAACCACAATAATCACGTAATTATTTGTCTGCCCGTCAACATAACGTATATCAAGAAGGTTCAACACCACTTGATGACACATTCACTGTTCCATACACCCGGCCCTCCTTTATTTCCGCTTTGACATGTGTTTTAAATTCAGTGTCCAGAATACGCCCTCATTCTCGGTTATACGAACTTGCAGGAAGAAACAGAATGGTTGAGAGCGGTTAAAGATGGTTCGATATGGTTCAATAAGACAATTTGAATAAGACAAAATCAGCCTGCCAGACGCCCGCTGGTGAGATGACCGAGAATTAGGGCGTGTAAAATTGTAACGACCAAGCTGATTTTCCGCCCTTTGCGCGTTTCCGGCGACTGCGAATAGGTGTAACGCGTAAGCGATCCCCGCCACAAATTCCGCCAGCACGTGGGGCATCTGCCACAAACTACCTCCGTAATTGAAAGCGAAAAGTTTTAGTCCTTTTACTGCATTCGAACGGGGTGTGGAATACAGGGGGATCACAAGCCTAGACTAGGGTGTTTAATAAAGCAGCGAGTTTAGGCGAACAAAAAGATTTTCCCCTCGCTGAGGATACAAGTCTACGTAGGTCCCAAAATGCAGGATGTCAAAAGTTTTATCGGAAAATACCATTGCAATTCGGTCAAACCGGGGTGACTACTCTGTAGGTGTAACCCTAAATACCTCGCAATCGCCAGAACCGCCCGAATGGTCGACCATTCCGGTCATTACAATTTTACACGCCCTTAGGGTGTAGCTGCATCTCTCAAACCAATGGTGGGCCTGGTGCCAACCAGACATGATCTGTGGCCGTTCCGACGGAGTGATCCAGCCGAACCTATTGCTGAACTGCTGACAACAAGAGGGCTGTGGCAAGCGTCGGGCAAACACTGACACCCTCCACGCGATTCGTCCGACAAATGAAACAATTATGCGAAGAGTGTATCTCAATGTTTGTAATCGCTCATCACCCTACCCAGCCATTGCAAAACCGTTGAAACCGTTGAGAACGTACTGCAACTTAGTAAGCCACGCTCGCACCAACCGACTCGGGGAACGCCCTCTGCGAAACAGGTTACTGTTCTGATAGGTCGGTGAACTGTAGTGGCGCGTCCCGCAATTATCGCACTGCTTGATCCGGTGGGGGAGGAAGACAGCTGCGACGCCCATCCATCGCCGTTGGCGAATGCACGAAACCCAGAAACCAGTCAGCCCAGCACAGCACAAACAGTACAATGTGCAAGCAAGCGACAGCTAGCGTGCAGTTCAGCAGCAGCACCATCACAAGCACCAGCACACAATCAGGCCCAACCACAAATCATCTCACATCCCACACCTTCGAGAGTGTTGCAGGGTGTGCTTCACAAGTGACCTGCAGTGCAGTGGTCACCTTCAAAGGCGCACAGCACACCCGAGTAGACTACACTGCATTGCCGGGACCGTGACCTTCGCGCCAAGGTTGCCACAATACACGTTTTGCTCGAACCGTGCGGATTAGCCATGGCGTGTCACTGGCATGGCAGCACGCGGTTCGTCTTCCACGCGACAGTAGCGCTAGTCGCTGTTTTGGCACTAACGCCATGGAACGAGGAGCCGGAGCGCGCTGGAGGCGGAGTTAGGCTAGCCATGGGGCAGGCAGAGAGCCCGCTGATTGGTCAAGGCGTAGACCCGTTCACGTCGAATGTGGTGTCTGAGCCGGTGCCCGTATATCTCTCCGTTATGCTACGGAAGCTCATCGCCGTTGATGGTAAGATAACGGGGAGGACGGGATGGCAGAGTGCGACCGAATGTGAGGCTAAATATAAGTCGCTTTTGAGAATTCTTAAATGCGACCTTCCTGCTAGGCTTGCAGAGTATCCGTTACTATCTGTTCGCTTTCTGTTACTCGCAATTCCACGTCGCCCGCCGATGCGCGCGCCGTCGTCGATTCAACGGCATCCCGCGTCGCGATTCTGCTGGCTGACTTGCGCGACGGGGCTTGTTCATACCCCCGCCTGTACTACCAATTGCGTCGTCTAACTGAGAGCCCAATCGCCAAAGAAGGGCTCAACAATTCGGGAAATACGCAATTCACCTGGTAAATCCTCCCCTATCCTCTCCTATCCTCTCCCTCCTCTCCCTCCTCTCCCGCCTCTCCCGGAATCCGCATTCCTCCCCCGTGCTATGCGCGCAGAGCTCAAGTACAGCTACAGCGCGTACTTTCAGGTCGTCACGTCGTGGCGCGATCCCCGAGGTCAGTCGTCGTGCGCTACCCTCCACCGCGCCGCGCTTGCAAACTATCTACCCTCTCGTTCCCCCTCAATGCCGCTCGTTCCCCCAATGCCGCTCGCTCCCCCAATGCCGCTCGCTCCCCCAATGCCGCTTGCTCCCCCAATGCCGCTCGCTCCCCCAATGCCGCTTGCTCCCCCAATGCCGCTTGCTCCCCCAATGCCGCTCGCTCCCCCAATGCAGCTCGTTCGCCCCACTACCCCTGCCGATCGATCCTTTCCCCTGCGCTGCGCCGCTGCATCGTGAAGCCGCGCGCGTTTCGTGTCATCGTCCGCCCTGCACCACTCAACGTGCCACTTGATTCGGCGCATGCACTCGTACCTCTCAATCGCAACCATTATAGAAACCCCACCCTTATATCTCTTCTCCCCGTCTCCCTTCCAATTCCCTCATCTCCTCACCTCTCCCATCCTCTCCCTCCTCTCCCCTCTTCTCCCCTCCTGTCGCGGCGCGATTCAGTGAACAAACCGCTGGGGGAGACGAAGGTGATGGACCAACTGGGCGGCGCGGGCGCTATGGGCAACAGAAAGCCAGCCAGTCGTGGTGTGACCTCATCTCCTCGTCTCCCTTCCTCTCGCCTCATCCCCCCTCCCCCATCGCCTCCGCGCCTTGCGCGCGGCAGTGAACAACACGCTGGGAGTGGTGAAGGTGATGGACCGGACCACAGTTCGCAGCGGACCTGGGGGCGGACGCCATCCAGAACTGCAAATGGTTTTGAGAATTCTCAAAAACAGCGCACCTGGGGGAAGACGCCATCCAGAACTGCAAATCCAACCTTTGTGTGACCTCATGCCCTCTCTCCCTTCCTCGCCCCTCTTCCTTCATCTCCCCTCCCGTTCCCCCGCATCGCCTCCTCCCCGGGCGCAGTGAACAACACGCTGGGGGTGATGAAGGTGATGGACCAGTTCGCACCGGACCTCGTGGCGGACGCCATGAGCAACTGCAAGCCCAACGCCACCTTCGCGGGTTTCAACATCAGCCAAAAGTCGGAATGCATTGACGGGCTCAGCCAGGTGCGTGCGCGCGGCGAGGTAACCGTTGACGGGCTCAGCCAGGTGCGCTGCGCGGAAGCGCGCCCCCCCCCCCCCCTCTCCCCCTTCCCCCTTCTCACCTCCCCTCCCCCCCCGCCTTCTCCCCGAGTCGTGGCGCCGCTGTTGCCGTTCTTGTTAGAAGCGCACGCGGGGAGTGCGGAGGGGGGGGAAGGGTGGTGGCAGGGTGGGAAGAGGAGGCGCCTTACAAGAGATGCCGATGCCTCTCAGGAAAGGTCCACGTAGGGAGATGCCTATCTTGTGCTCCCTTCTCTTCGACTCCACACGCCGTGCTCTGTGCTGTCCCTCCGCAACCATCCATGCACAACCCTCCCTCGCTTTCCCCTCCCCTCCGCTGCCCTCCGCACATGTGCGCGCGCGCGCCAGACGGGGCTGCCCTGCTGCAGCTCAAGGACTGCAAGAAGCAGTGCACGCCGGCGGGCACGCGGTGCTTTTTGAGTAGTAGACTCAATAAACCTCCCTTCCCCCACATGTGCACTCTCTCCTCCCCCCCCCTCCCCTTCGCTGCTCAGACGGGGCTGCCGCAGCTGAAGGACTGCAAGAAGCAGTGCACGCCCGCAGGCACGCGGTGCTGTGATGGCGTGTGGCTGCCGTCGCTCAACATCCCCAACGTCATCTTCTTCCCGCAGGACCGATACGCCACCGGTGAGCACCGCTCCCTCCTCGCTCCTCGCTCCTCGCTCCTGCGCTACCTGTGCGCGTGCGCTCTCTCTCTTTCTCCAGCTGGTCACTATTTCACTCCCACGCAGTATACACTCACCTCTTCCCCCTCCCCCCCTCGCCCCTCCCCCTGTGCGCGCAGAGAGCATCTACTTCTTCGGTGACATAGGCCCGGACATGAGCACCTATTGACTCACCTGTTCACCCCTTCCCCCTCCGCTTTCCCCCTCCCCTTTCCCCCTCCCCCTTGCCCCCCTGTGCGCGCAGAGAGCATCTACTTCTTCGGTGACATAGGCCCGGACATGAGCGCCGTGGACCGCGAGGTGGTCGTGGAAGGTGCGCACCAGTGCCAGTGGGGGGCAGTCAAGGGGGAGTGCGGGGGGAGAGTGCAGGGGGGAGAGGGTGGGTGGGGGAGAGGGTGGGGGAGAGTGTGGAGGTGACGTTTTGTTCGTTCAACGTGTTTACTTTTGCCTTTCCCTCTCCCTTTTCCTTTCCTGCTCAATACCCACCCTTCTCTTCTCGCCCCCTCCTTCCCGTGCGCCCGATACACCAGGCGAGTTCTCCTCGCCGTTCAACTTCCAGCGCTTCCCCTTTGATACCCAAGTAAGCCACCCTACCCTACCCCACCCCACCCTACCCTACCCCACCCTACCCTACCCTACCCCACCCCACCCTTCCCTACCCCACCCTACCCTACCCTACCGCCTTGGGTCCTTTTGAGCCTCAAAAATGCTCTTTTTGAAGCACTCAATACGCCCACAAGACCTCCCTGGCTCCTTGACTCCTCCCCGGCCACAAGACCAACCACTTGCGATTACGGGTTTCGGGTTCCTCCCCATCTCCCTCATCACCCAAAACCATCTGGATCCAACCTTGCCCTTTTCTTCACTTCCCCCTCTTGCAAATCCTGAATCTCCCGCCTCTCCCATCTCTCCAGCCTTCAACCCGTCCTCCCCCTCCTTCCTCTGCTCTCTACCAACACCTACCTCAGCACCCGCACTTGTCATTCACAGCATGAGTGAGGGCCTTCGTGAGGGCCTTCGTGAGGGCCTTGGGTTCACAGTGACGGTGGAGAGCGGCAGCACCTCCGTGTCAACCCCTTCCTGCACTGCACCCTCCCTTCAACGCCCCTCCCTCCCTCTCCCCCCCACAGCACCTGCGGTTCACACAGTGACGGTGGAGAGCGGCAACAGTTACCCGGTTATGCATGCTTGCATGCTTCCCAGTGAACTCTCATACTGATACCAGCACGCGGCTACCCCCCTCCCTCTCCCCCACACAGAACCTGCAGTTCACAGTGACGGTGGAGAGCGGAAACATCTACCTGGCTATGCTTGCATCACTCTTGAGAACTCTCATACTGATTCAAGTACACCCCTGTCTTCCCCACACAGCACCTGCGGTTCACAGTGACGGTGGAGAGCGGGAACATCTACGCTTAACCTTTCCATGCATGCACCCTCCCTGCACCACCTCCCTGCTCCGCCTCGCCTCGCCACACCCTGTCTTCCCCACACAGCACCTGCGGTTCACAGTGACGGTGGAGAGCGGCAACATCTACCTGGTGACTTCCAACTCGGGGCGGCAGCAGGAGCAGGCGTCCAAGGGGCTCAGCGGGGGCGGCACGGGGGGATTCTCCTCGGACGAGGTCACGGGGTGGCGCATCAGCAGTGTCGGGCTCAACTGCTCTGCGGGTTCATCCAACACCGCTGTTTCCGATCTCGCTTCCTATGCCCAAGGTGTGCAGCCCTTTTTTATATGAGACGGTTCTCATCTCAATGTCGGCTCACGGGGTGGCGCATCAGCCGCGTGGGGCTCAACTGCTCCGCCAGTTCATCGAACACCGCTGTTTCCGATCTCGCTACCTATGCCAAAGGTGCGCAGCCCGGGTGTGAGAGACGGATCTCATCTCAATGTCGGCTCACAGGGTGGCTCAATGCCTCCCCCTCAACCTCCAACCTCTTCCCCCTCCCCCTCCCCCTACCCACTGCCCCCCATTGTGCAGACGACCCGTGGGCGCAGGTGAGCAGCAGTGGGGGGGCAGCGGACCCATCGAAGCCGACCACGTGTGTGTTTGTCATCTCCATCTCGCGCACCAGTGGCGTCTACGTCCTCTCCGTACGCTCCACCTTCCCTCTCCTCCCCTCCCCTCCCCTCCCCTCCCCTCCCCTCCCCTCCCCTCCCCTCCCCTCCCTTCCCCTCCCCTCCCCGCCTTTCCCCTGCCCATCCTCACACCCCTGCTCCTCACTCTCATCCTTGTCTTTCCTGATTACTCTCCCCCTCAACTTTCCTCCCCCTCCCCCCTCAACACTCCATCACCCGCCTCCCATCCCACCTCGTCCTCCCCGTTTCTCCCCACGCCTCCCTATCGTCCACCTCTTCTCCCTCTCAACGCCTCCTCTTGTCCCTCCCATCACCCTCCCATTACCCCCGCGTCTCCCTGGCCGGCAGGTGATTCTCCCGGTGATGCTGAGCGTGTACCTGACCTTCTCGGTGTTCTTTGCCAAGCCAGAGGACCTGGAGGTCCGCTCGGCTACCTGTGTGACGCTCTTCCTCGCCCTGGCCGCCGTGCAGTTCGTCATCGACAGCCAGGTGGGTGGGTGCGTGTGGGCTGCAAGCACACATGTGCATGCACGTGCCACACGCACACATGTGCATGCACGTGCCACACGCACACATGTGCATGCACGTGCCACACGCACACATGTGCATGCACGTGCCACATGCACACAGACTTCTAACACGATGCAACCGCATGCACTGCTGTGCTGTTGCCATTGGCTACTCCTCCTCCTCCTCCTCCTCCTCCTCCTCCTCCTCCTCCTCCTCCTCCTCCTCCTCCTCCTCCTCCTCCTCCTCCTCCTCGTCCTCCTCCTCCTCCTCCTCCTCCTACTCCTCCACCTCCTCCACCTCCTTCCCCCCAAGTCCATAACATATCCTCCCTGTTCACATGCCATATGCATCCTTCTCTTTCCCGCTCCCTCCCTCCCTCCCTCCCTCCTTCCCTCTGCTCCTCGCCCCCACCCATCGCCATGCGTGAGCCCCCTCCAAGCTGCCGCGCACGTCAGCCATAACACCGTTGCATACCTGGTGATTGCGTCCAATATCTTACCAGCAAACCCCTCCTGAATTCTCCTCCCCTGTCCCCCCCCCTCACCCCCCTTTTCCCTTCCCTCCCTTTCTCCCCCCTCTCCCCCACCCGGTCCTCCCCCCAGCTGCTGCGCACGTCAGCCATAACGCAGTTTGGGTACCTGGTGATCACGTCTTACACTGTCCAGGCAACCCCTCCTAAATTCTCTTCCTCCCGTTCCCCTCCCTCGTCCCCCCGTTCCTGCCTCCCCCCAGCTGCCGCGCACGTCAGCCATAACGCAGTTTGGGTACCTGGTGATCACGTCTTACATATTCATCATGCTCACCACCATCGAGACTGTCATCGTCTTCTGGCTCTCCGACCGGGTGAGCGGGCGCTAAGGGAGAAGAGGGAGGGGGGAGGTTGGGCAGGGAAAGTGGGGGGAGAGGGAGAGAGAAAGGGGAGGCGGGGGGATGAGGGGACATGAGAGGAGAGACGAAGTGGTTTTTATCTTCATCATGCTCACCACCGTCGAGACTGTCGTCTACTTGCTCTCTGACCAAGTGAGAGGGCGCTAGGGGGAGGAGAGGGAGGGGGGGAGAGGGGTGGAGGAGAGGAGGGAGAGAGTGGAAGTGGGGGATGGGATGGGGAGACAGGCGGGAAGGGGGGGATGCAATGCGGACATGATAGGGAGAGGTATGGGGAAACTGTGTGAAGGTCAGAGGGTGAGTGATTTTGAAGGTTCGTGCTCCTTACAAGGAAGGTTTGGCCAAGTAAATGTTGCTGATCTGCTTCGATGCAATGCAGCAGTGTGCACCTCTTTTCATATCATCCTTGCACTCCTAACCGCCCGTACAACAACCACACTCTCCGCCACTCCTCCAACCCCACGCCCACCCTACGCCATTCCGTTCACCCCACCCACCCGGAGCAGATAGAAAAGGACGTGATAGAGTCAGTGAGCAAGCGGTTTACGTCGCGCCGAGACACGCCGCCCACGCCATCACCGCACGACACGTACAACACGCTCTCCGTGGAGCTCATGAAGTCACAGCCGCCGCCTGCTGGCAGCGGGGAGGGCGGGAGCGAGACGAGCGTGGAGGAGCGGGACAATGGGGAGGCGAAGCCGTCGAGCACGGGCGGACAGGCGGTGGGGCCTTCTGATGGGAGTGGGGAGATTGAGAAGCCGAGCGATCATAATAAGTGCAACCCAAGTGTCTGGGTACGTGTGCCTTGGTTGTTTGGACGGTTTGTTTGTGCTGGGTTGGATGTTTGCTGAGAAGAATATGGGTTGGGGTAGTGATGAATGCGGTTGACGGCAGTTTTGCTGCTGTCTCTGTAAGGGAGTCACGTGCATTGTGTACGTGATCTACGAATGACTCAGGGTTTAGCTGGTGATCCTTCTGCCAACAACAATGCCCAGTCATTCGTTTCCCTGCTATTATCAGAGTTTTGCACCTAGTTGCATTCACCTCCTCTAAATTTCCTCTTTATTGACTCCCACCCTGCTGTCAACAGCCTTGGGGATGCCTTCGTCACTGTGGTTACCGATATAAGTCCAAGACCGAGGGACACGAAGATGAGGCCAATTATAAGCTTGCCGTTGCGATTGATGCTGTTTGTTTCGTCCTCTTCTTCACTGCATACACCATAGTGTGCATCGTCCTGTATGTTTAACTCACTTTCAGATGGTAGATAGGTGTATTGTGCACAGCACAATCTGACGTAGAGACACGCTTTCGTTTCTCGTGTCTGAAACTCCTGTATTAGCTGGTCTGAACTCAACCAGAGTACCTTGAACAGGTCCAGCATGCCGGCACTGGGCTGGGCACTCATGCACTGTGTGGACAGCATTTGTTTTTCCACTCAAGTTCCCCGGTTCCAGACTGTGAGGTTTATTTGGCTTGGAGGCTGAAGCTTGATCTGGACAAGAGAGGAAGAAAAATTACTGTAGGCTGTGACAATATATTAGTGTATCGTATGTATTAGCCATCTGTGACAATATATTAGTCTATACGTATTGGACAGGTGTTCCAAACGGATACCAAATATTAAAATTTCCAATATGCAACCATATGCAATACAACATTGAAAGCTGAATGTCATTACCCTCACAGCATCCATTGTGTGTCAAATGGATGCTGAAATTGTGGAGTGAGGCAAGATGTTAGAGGTTTACGTCTGATTGTGTCTGGTTGATTACTGTATATGACAAATGCCCCTCTTTCTAGCGAGATGTCCTCCTGATCTTGGGGTTTCGATTAGGCACACCACCCAACCTCTCTCTAGGTGACTCGGCTTATCGTCATCTCGAGTCATCGTCACGAGCGAGCTTGTCTGATGGCACGTGTCCGCGTCACTATAGAAGGCACTCTCGTCATGTCGCCAATCGTAAGAGATGCACGAGATTCCCCTAACCGCTTGTCTTTCCAGCATTTGGAGAGCCAGAAGTTTCCGCCAAGCTCCTTGCCCAGCAGTTCACCACCAAATTAATTGTTACCTGCCCGCAGACCTACAACCAGCACTACACTAGTGGTAAAACAAATGTTTGCTGGCATTTTCTGGCCAGGTAGGCGTCGCGTTGATGTGGTGGATTGTTCATGGGGTTCAGAGTAGAAGTTGCTGCGTCGGAGCGACTCGTGATTTACGTCATCCATCCCCACAACCGCAGCGCGCTTCCACGTGGGCATTTGACCACCCCCGCTCGCCCTACCAACCGAATTCCCTCCCTTACCTCCTCCCATTCAAATTGCGTTCTCTCGTCAGACATTTCTTGCATTGCAATTACCTACTACTGATTACTACATCCCAAGTCCTGTGCATTCTAAGTTTGATTTACTAGTCCTCCGACATTGCTCACCAGCTCGCGTCTTCAGCATTTTCCGTTTCCACGTGTCTTCTCCTCGACAGTTTCCGACCAGTCTGCTGCCTTAAACCCACTTCCGGAAATATGGCTCTTCTCGCGGTTCACTCACAAGTGCGCGTCGCTGCACCAATCGTCCATTTGGCAAGCAACCAGCGTCGTTCGACTCTGGCTCCTTCGACCACAGTTCACGGCGCTTCGCGAAGCAGTATTATTGGAACCTCTCTGATGCAATCTCAGACAGTTTCCAAGGCTCGATGTGTGGCGGTTCTGCAGCAACGGGCGCCTCCGGCCGTGGCGGCTACGCCAATGGAGGTGGCGCAGAAGGGATGGTCTTATTCGCAGTACGGCTCCGCCGTCAGGGACCTCCAATTCGGCACCGTTCCTCTGCCCGAAATTTCTCCCGACCAGGTACGCCTTTAAATCTGATTTCTCTCCGTTCAATGCGGCAGCAATCTCCAGCATTTTACACTCGGAGCTTGGCGGAATGTCACAATTAGGTGCGAGCATGGCGCATACATTTTCTGGAGGCATCGTGCCTATTATTAACTGCGAGTGGGGCCACTCATTGACGTGGTTTATTGCGGTGTGATGCCGACGGCAGGTGCTCATTAACGTGTCAGCCGCGGCGCTGAACCCCATCGACATCAAGAGGATGCGCGGCGCGTTCAAGGAAACCGACTCGCCGCTTCCCGTGAGCCGTCCACCCCCTCTGCCGTCTCCTTCCGTTTGACAATCTCATGCTTCCGTGGTCATGGACCCTCACGGTGACTCGAAGTCGTCAATGATCCCCATTCCCGCTCCTTGCCTTCATTCGCATTCTAACCTCGTTCCATCTCATGGCTCAGCCCATAGTTCCATTTACTCCAATTCTGTCAATTTCTTACCATCATCCTTGTCGTATTTTGTCGTCTTCGTGGTGTTGGCGGCAGACGGTGCCCGGGTACGACGTGGCGGGCACGGTGGTGGCGGTGGGGAGCGCGGTCACCAAGTTCGCAGTGGGCGACAGAGTCTTCGGCGACATTAACGAGTTCGCCACGCTCATGTCAGCCCCACCACACCCTTGCCTCTCACCCTCCTGCACCTTTCCGAAGCCGCAATTTCGTGCTATTCCGTGGTACCCCTTTTAACAGCTGTTTTTCCTTGGTGCCCTTTAACGTGAAACGTGGAAAAGCTCATGGCTCACGTGTTTTTCCTTTCTAAACAACTCTTCGCGTTTCCTTCCGTGTTTTCGTGGTTGTGCCAGGCCCAAGCAGCTGGGCTCGCTCGCACGTTTCACGGCGGCTGAGGAGATGCTCCTCGCTAAGATCCCCAACAACATGTCCTTCGCCGAGGCTGCTGGTGAGCTAAGACCTCCTTGCCCCTTGCGCAGCGTGTGCCCCTTTCCGGCTGCCCGTATCAGTACCGTTGTGGCCTTCTCACTCACGCCTCTTGATATCCCGTCTTCCCTCCGCCTCCCCCCCGCGTGCAGCGGTGCCGATGGTGGCGCTGACGGCGCTGGGAGCGTTGGAGGCGGCGAACTTCAAGCACGGGCAGTCCGTGCTCATTCTCAACGGCGCTGGTGGCGTCGGATCCATGGCCATTCAGGTACCGCTGCCCGCGCCGCGCTCCTTCCGCCTGCTCTTTCGTACTGCCACCACTAGATTTGCCCGTTTACATTCTTTGACTTAATACTGCCCCGTCAACTCTTTCATTCCAACGACAATGTCGTCTGCTCGTGGCTCCGCCCCTGGCCCACCCACTCGTTTCCCCTCTGTCCGTCTCTCCACTCTTCGCGTCCGTCTGGCAGGTGGCGAAAAGGGTGTTCGGGGCGGGGTTCGTGGCGACGACGGCGAGTCTGCCCAAGGTGGGGCTGCTGGAGGCGCTGGGAGCGGACCACGTGGAGGACTACCGCACTATGGACTACACGCGCCTGCCACAGCTCTACGACTGCGTGCTCGACTGCGTTGGTGAGCATTCATCAGCATATTGCATGGGCCGCCAGCCCGTCCGCGCATGGTGTACATCTGGGCTTTCCTCTGTTATTTTGTGTTTCTTCTACCTATGCTGCATCTCACATTCCTGTGGATTTTGCTGGGCTTGAGTTCTTCGGCAAATGAAACACCAGTTCATTGGGCTTGCATGCGGAGTGGAGGGTTGCAATAGAACCAAGGCAAATGTGTGGGATCAAAACGAAACAAGAAACCCCAGATTGTCTCTCATTCCCACATTTTTACCCACTTCTCATGCTGTCTGCCCGCCTCTGAACGTCTCACACTTCCCTCGCACCCCTTCCCCGCCCTACCCGGACCTACCCGCAACGACAGGCGAGGCGGAGCGTGCAATGAAGGTGGTGAAGCCAGGCGGGGCGTACGTGTGCCTGACAGGCTCCTCCCCTGCGCCAGCAGTGCGCTTCAACATGGTATCCAGCGGGGCCAAGCTGCAGCAGCTGCTGCCCTTCTTCGCACGCGGGGAGCTCAGGGCGGTCATCGACCCTCACGGTGTCTTTGCTCTCTTCGCCGTGCCGTCCGCGTTTGAGCACCTCGAGTCGGGCCGTGCCACTGGCAAGGTTGTGGTGGGCGTGCTGTGACTGCGCTGAGCCTGGACCAGAGATGCGGAGCCCAGCGGTCACCTGCCGAGCCCACCTTGAGGGTGGGTGGCTGCTGGAGCTGCTGTTGAGGTGGTGGGAGACTTGGGGGTAAAATATAAAGAGGAATGCATGAAAAGTGACTGGTGATGGTACTATCTCTGGGTTTTGGGGGATGGGGTTAGAGGGAGGTTCGTCTTTGGGTTGACTGGTGTGCATGAAAAGTGGCATCAGCTACATGGGGTTAGCTGCTGGCATACCGTAATACCACAGCAGGCCTGTCGGTCTGCTGGGTCGTTTTTGGTACTATCTTGCAGCCTTATGTATGTATGGAGCATGTGGGATTGGGTAGGTAGCTGTAGGTGTGTTGGTTTCTTTCCTTCTTTCTTTGTGCAGCTGGAGAGCTGGCCCTTGCCACTACCTTGTGGGCAACTGTACATTTCCCAAAGTTTTCATCGCCTGCGGGGTAGTTAGTGAGCGAGTGTAACCAGCATATTACCTTTGTGATTTTAATTTTATATTGCCACATATTTTGCTGAAATCCACTTTCCTGCTCCCGTTGCCTCCATAAAGAGTCTCTGGTGCTTCAACTCTGATACGGTATAGGCATGCTGTCAGAATATATTTCTGTATAACTGCATGTAGTTCTAGCTGTAGTGTAGTTCTATTGCTGTCCTGTTAGGTGGTGCACCCTTTGGCTTGCTATAACTTGTAACTCTTCTCATAGTGAACACACATTCTTGTTTCTCCCTTGGTTAACACCCTCGACCTCACCCTTGCTACTCTCGTCCTAGCTAAACCCTAGGCTACTAAGCCTACTAAGTTAAGAACCTATTTCAACATGCTATCAGAGCTGGTCCTTCCCAGGACCTAATTTTCATGGGCCCACCAGTCGCGCTGCCCGTCATGCAGCGCCCCTGCCCGTCACGCGCCCCGAGCGCATGGTGGTTTCTGCCCGTCGCACGCCCCGGGCGTGTGGCGGTTTTCTGCCCGTCGCACGCCCTGAGCGCGTGGCGGTTTCTGCCCGTCGCACGCCCCGGGCGTGTGGCGGTTTCTGCCCGTCGCACGCCCCGGGCGTGCGTCGGTTTCTGCCCGTCGCGCGCCCCCAGCATGCGACGGTGTTCTGCCCGTCGCTCGCCCCCAGCGTGCGACGGTTTTCTGCTCGTCGCGCGGGGGCCCCGTCGCAGGCAAGCACGCGCACTGCTGCAGCCGCCCGTACGCCGCAGCCCTCGTCCGCAGCCCGCGATCGCCGCTGCTGCAGCCCGCCGCCGCTGCGCTGCATCTCCCCGCTCGTACGAGCCCGCCGCCGCTGCAGCCGCGACTGGAGCAGGCAGCATCGAGGGGGTTAGTGGCGGCCGGAGCCGCCAGTCGCCAACGCCCGTGCCAGCACCAGCGCCAGCACAAGCGCGCGGAGCTGCACCAGCCTCACCTCCCCGCCGTCGCCTACGCCCTGCTCACCGCCCCGCCGCCCGCTTCCTCATCCCTCTCCTGCTTCGCGTGCAGAAGTTTTGGGGGGAGGGTGTTGGGGGGACGCAGGAGTGGCGGTGGGGGGGTGGTTGCACCTCCAGCGCCCCGCTGCTCTGCTTCGTCACCAAGCCAGCAGGCCCCCCCCTCCGCCTCTACCTTCCCCCTTCTGCTGCTCCTACTGCAGCGGCGGTTTCTGCCCGGCGCCTCGTGCGCCCTGCCCATCCGCGCCCGCCCCACCAGATCGCGCACCTCGCCCCCCCTCCCTTATCTGCCCTCTCCCTACTGCGTGTGCAGCAGTTTGTGGGGAGGGGGAGGTGGTGTAAGGGGGAGGTGGCACCAACGGCACCACCCTGCCTCCTCTGTTTCACGGCCGCACCTGCTGCTGTGGGGGGGAGGGTGGAGTGGTGGGAGTGGTGGGAGTGGCGGGAGGAGATACTGCCGCTGTCGCTCGCCTTCCCCTCTCTCTCCCTGCTGCGCGTGCAACAGTGGGGGGGTGGGTTTGGGGTGGCGGGTGTGAGCACCCAGCTGCCGCCCCTCCTCCTCTCTCTCTCACTGCCGCACGTGCCGCTGTGGGGGGGAGGGTAAGGGGGTGGCGGGCTTCTGGCCGCCGTGTGAAGGCTTGAGCAGGGACCACCGTGGGTGGGGAAGGTGTTGGAGGAAGGGTGGGGGGGAAGGTGTGAGGTTTCAGGGGCCGGTTGACAAGGGGGGTGAGGTTGAGGGGGGTGGCTGAAAGGGGGCGTGGAATTAGGGGGTTAGTAAGAGGGGCTCGCCGCGCTAGGCTCCCCCCCACCTCCTCTCCTCCCTCTCTCACCCTCCCCCCTTTGTAAAACGGGGGTTCGTAAGAGGGGTTCGCCGCGTGGCTCCCCCCACCTCCTCTCCTCATCCCTCTCTCACCCCCCCCCTTTGTAAAACAGGGGTTCGTAAGAGGGGCTCGCCGCGTGGCTCCCCCCACCTCCTCTCCTCATTCCTCTCCTCTCCCCTCTCTCTCTCTCTCGACTCCTCCTCGCATTCCTCTCTGTTGTCTTCCGCTGCGCAGGGTGTACCCCTCCAGGGGGTGTTATGCACATGGCTATTCCTGCATGCAGTTAGGGGGTGTGTCAGAATATATTTCTGTATAACTGCATGTAGTTCTAGCTGTAGTGTAGTTCTATTGCTGTCCTGTTAGGTGGTGCACCCTTTGGCTTGCTATAACTTGTAACTCTTCTCATAGTGAACACACATTCTTGTTTCTCCCTTGGTTAACACCCTCGACCTCACCCTTGCTACTCTCGTCCTAGCTAAACCCTAGGCTACTAAGCCTACTAAGTTAAGAACCTATTTCAACACATGCCCCAATATGTATGGACATTGATGCAGTCCAAACACAAAATACAATTCATCCATACGTACGGTAATACACATTACGTACCTTGCCACCATGGGATGGCTTGACTGCAATGCATACCGTATATTGCAACCATGGCATGGCCAGGCAGGCAATGTTATCACGCCACGAAACCAGCTAATCAACCGGATGAGGTTTTCTCATTCAGCGGCCGACATCCTCACAAATTCCACAACAAAATATTGGGGCGGTAAAGTGCCATTTGCTCCATTACACATTCGCAATAGAGACGCGTGCCAATACTTGAATGTAGAGTGCGATAGTGTAGGACGCGTTGCACACAAATAGCCTGAATAGGTTGCCTGGTCCCATTAATACCAAATTACAACTTAATGATACCACTGGTTTGCTGCAGTCGTTTTGCAATATGATGGGTTGCGTTGCAAGCACGAAACGGAGAAATGCTGTTAATTCTGATAAAATTATACCATATAAGCAACCATACGTAACCCAAATACACTTACCATGCGTATGCAGACTGGATCTCTCTCTCCTATCCATGACCTCCTTCCCCCTCGAACACAGCGAGGCACAGTTCGAAACATAGGTTTCCTCGACAAGCTTCCACCTCAATTCAGTCCCTAAAAGTGCGTTGGCTTATCTTGCCTCTTGCCGTATCTCTCGTCGTTTTCCACGCGATTATCTCTCCAACGCACCTTCGCAGTACGCATCGATTTGAGTTCCCAATAAAGCCCCTCGGAAGTTGCCCATCGCTAGGCAAGCGAGGAACGCGGGGATGGAAGTTGCACGGGTGGACGCAGCAAGCGGGGCTCAGCTGCGGGGCGAGGCCCTGCACGTGCACGGCCCTGCTGAACTATCATCTCAGGATTGGCTTGCGTATTTTGCAACATTTAATCCTGTCGGGATTGAATGGGTGTCTTTATCCTCTTGTAAGGAACCGTCAAAAGTTACCACCTTCAATTTTCCTGCGCAAAGATGTAGCGAGTGTTCGCGAATGCGCGAGTTTGTCCTGTTCACCCTCGACTAGCTAATTCTCCCCCCCAATGCTCTCCTTCCAATGTCCCTACTGGTTGATGCTTCCCCTTGCACCCCCCTAAAACTTCCATTCTTTCTGGTTTCCCAAACGCCGATTCCATCGGCCGTCGTTCTCTCCATTTGGTTTGTTTCATTTTGTTGTCGTTTGTTTCACGAAAGCCGTTGGCATCCTCCAGTCATGCTCCTAGCTACCTGGTATGTTTTTTCAGCCCATTCTTCTCCAGCTCTCCACATACCCCTCTCTTCTCTTCCTTGGTCCGTCCCTCCCTGTTTCCCTCCCTCTCCGACCCTCTCTCCCTCCGCTCCTCGCTCCATTTCCCCCTCCATCCCTCCCTCCATTCGTCCCTCCCTCCCTTCCCCCTATCGCCCGGCAGGCAACGTGGTGTTTGACGACGGGTTCACGTGCAAGCGGGCGCTGCTGGCGCGGCGCACAGCTCCGGATGACATGTACCAGGGCGTTCCAACTCATGGTCAGTATTGCTCTGCTATTCGCTCTCCCTCCATGGCCAGGACGGTCTACTCCCCTTGGTGGTCACTACGGACCTGTTTCCTGCGCCCTAGGTTCAGTCGAGCATGGGGATCATAATAGCTGTTACACTTTGGTTTCCACTAGCCTTACATGTCTAATATTCACCTTCTCTCGTTCTCTCCCCCTCTCCCAACCTCTCTCCCCATGCCAGTTGTAAACAGTAGAGACTCCATAACCTTTTTTGTTTCAAGCTTGCTTTCTGCACGTTATGGGAACTGCAAGTATGTTTTTTCACAGCTTTCCCTCCTTGCGATGTTGCCTTTTTGCTTCTCCTATCCCAGCACTCCCCCCTGCTCCGTGGTTCACAGCAAAGCCCATTTCCTGCGATGGCATGAAGCTGCCCTGCTCCATTCGGGCAGCTACAATTTTTGACGTGCGCCCGTCCACGGGACTGCCAGCCAGTGTCGTTGCCCAGTTAAGAGAAAAGGAGGAGGGGGCAGCAAAGCTTCGCAGAGGGGATGGCGCAGGGGTGAATGCTGGAGTAGGAGGGGGGATTTTCCACACTAGTAGTAAACAACAAAGCGGTCGTATAGGGGCAGGTTTTGCTGCTGGCGTTGCAAGCAGCAACGGTGCAGGTGGTGGTGGGGGAGAGGAAGGAGGAGGAGGGGAAGGTGGCATTCTTGACAGGGCCCTGGAGGAGAGCGGTTCGGATGCAATGGAGGGTGTCACTGTGAACGGGGACGGCCTGTCAGGGCTGCATGGATCAGGCATGGCTCCTCGGCGCGGTCGTGGCCCTGGTGGCAATTCCCGGGGTTCTGCTGGTAGGCGTGTGGTGGACTGGGATGCTCCCGTTTCTGAGGCCAGTGAGGGAGTGGTTGAACGGTTCGGAACTGCTTCTGAGCCAGAGGTACTCGCAGCCGCAGCTGCTGCAGCGGTAGCAAAAGCTGTTGGCATGCCTGTTGCTCCGGCTTCTGCTGTTATTCCCGGCAGCATGGTGGCGATAGAGGGGGCTCCCCCAGGGGCACCTTTAGTAGCACTCGTGCCTGTAGTCACAGATGGCGAGGATGGGCTGGCAGGAAGCAGGGGCGGGGGAGAAGAAATCACAGAGGATCTCCGAGAGGTTTTGCAGAAGGTCAGGGAAGGCAAGAGAAAGGCCCGGCCGAGCGTGTGGGAAAGAATGGGACGATCAGGGGGAGAAGGTGGGGAGGAGGGGGAGATGGGTAGTGAAGGAGATGACGAGGATCGGGTGGTCGATGATGGGAAGGGAGGGGGGAGTGTGCTGGAAGGGAGGCTAGGGTTGGAGGGAAAGAAGAGGATGGTTCGTGATGCCGGCGGCACCAACCGTCTGTTCTTGAAAAGTGTTGCGTCATTGCACAATGGTTCGGAGGGTTCACGGGGACCTGGCACGGTAGTTGAAAAGAAGCGACCTTCTCGAAGTGTGAAGCAAAGGCTTGGAAGCAAGGTGGTGGTTCCGCATGCTCTAAGTGAAGTGGAGTAAGAGCGCATATCAACAACTGTTTTCACTAACTGGCATGTGATTGCTTGCATGCATCGGCCTTGCAAGCAGCTATCGTCCTTTCCTTGTGTTGGTGGAACTTCCCTATTGTTTTGACCAGTTCCATCTAGTGCTGAAGTTTCGTGACATTTAATTAACTCGACAACGGGAAGTCCTAGTACCTAATGTCATGACAGGTTGAGTGGTGCAATGCCACCAGTGCACAATGTATGAATTGACAAGAGGTCTAGCTGTCATTTAGGGTTGTGAGACTATGCATACTTGAAAGCATAATAATGTGAAAATGTTTCCATGTAGCCTTTTCCCAGGCTTCCCCCAACCTCGCTACACCACGAACCGAGCCCCAAGCAACCCCCCTGACTTGAATATACGAGGCGCGGAGCTCCCATCTCACCCCAACGGCCCTCTTCCCTCCACAAGCTGGTACGCAAATTCGCATCGCATTCCGAGTCGCGCATCCAAAATTCCGAGGGGACCGCGTGGAGGGAGCTGAAATGCGTGAAATTGCTGCCAGATTTTGACAGGCCCATCAGAAGAAGGTGATGGGTGGTGGGAGGAGGGGGGAGGGGAGGTGGTGTACAGTAGTGGAGGAGGGAGGGCTGGGAGGGGATGTGTGTGTGTGTCTGCAAGTACTACAGTGGAGTGTGTGAGTGAAGCAGAGGGTACCCTGATTCCCTGAAGCAGCACCCAACTCGCACTCCCTCTCCTCCTGCCCTCTCGCTTTCAAACTTTCGCTCGCCCGCTTACTCGTACCACATGGAAGAGTGGTGGTGACTGGCTAACAACCACTGTCCTAGCAAGAGCTATAGTGTTCCTTATCACTACAGGGCGCTTGCAGGGCGCTTCCCGTTGACATCCTGGGTAATGTGCGAGAGAGAGGATAGGGGTATGCGCTGCAGCGTGCTCATAAGAAAAGATACAGCTCCACGAGGAGCTTTCCACGTTCGTGAAGCAATGAGTAGCAAGCATGCGTCGGATAGAATGACCACGGCATTGTGATTAATCTTGACACAGCTGACGGGTCGATTAATAACGTCTGAGTAGCACAAGGACAGCGGAATCCGGGACGAGCACCTCGGCTGTCATCACCTCATGCACTTCAGCTAGTTTTCATTGTTTGCCAAATCGAGCCGAGAATTTCTGCCATTTATATAGGCACTTCTTTTCGCATACTGAGCCTCCTCGCACTCCCACATGGAGGCACATACACCAAGTAGCGACGGCATGGCCACGCGATGGGAAATGAGTCCGCGGATGTCGCGCGGCCGACAGGAAGAGCGAGGCCGCTTCTGGGGCTCCAGCAGGTGCGTCGCATGATGAGTTATGCGTGTTTGCGTTTCCCGTGGCGCGTATTCTGTGTTGCGCGCTGCTCACGTCACGTCGAGATGTCCATGGTGTGTCATACAGTACGCGCTGCGTTCCGTTCTCAAAATAGTAGCGGTAGAGCGAAAAGGCATTCCTACCTTCGTATCATGCCCTGCCCCCTCGCTCACCCTCACTCTCCCCTCTCCTCATCGCTCAACCCTCCCCTCTCCCTCTTGCTCCTTACCATGCCTTGCCCCTTGCCTCCTATCCGTGCTCGTGCCCATGCAATTTCTCGAATCCCACCGTCAAATATCTGCCTTAGTGCTCGTTCCGCCTATCGCCCCCCGCTATCCCCCTCGATTTCAACCTCTCCACGCCTTTCTACATTGCCCTCCTCGTGCAAGCACCCCTCTGCCCTACTCTCCTCTTGCGGCACGCATCCCGCCCACTGTTTACCCGTCTGCCCTTCCTTCCGCACCGATACATATGCTTGCATCTTACGAAATCGATCCCCCCAGAAGCAGCCCCCCTCCGCTTCCCCCCTTCCGCTCACATTCTCCGCTTTCCCCCGTCCCCGTCGCCTTTTCCCCCGGAACAGGAAGGAATCTTCATCGCCCCGTGAAAGGTCCCCCTGCCTTGCGCAATCCAGCTCGCGCGTGCATCCCAGCCCGCTGAATCTCCCGGTCGGCGCATCTCCCCTCGCTGGTCCCCCAGCCGCGGATGCTTCCCCGTCGCGGGGCGGATGGGGCGCAAAGTGGGCGTTCTCGGGGCGCCGGTCCAGCCCCAGGCGCGCGCGTTCGATGTCCCCCGTTCCGCGCAGGGGGAAGGAAGCCCCGCCTGTTACGGTCACTACGGCGGCGAACAGTTTCGCGACGCCAGGCCCAACTCTCCCCGCGCGTCGCGTGGGCAGGCTCTGGTCAGCCGCGCCGCCACCGCCGGCAGCGCACATGCAAGGACCGGCCGGCTCGGCGGCGCATGCTGGGGAAGTCGCGGCTCGTCATACACCGGAAAGCGGCGCACATCACGGGTTTCCGTGTTTAGCAGTTGGGGAACACGAGGTTGGGGAGAGACGGCGCGTGGCGCAAGGGCCGGGCGGACCGCACGTCGGAAGCTCCCCCAGCATCGGCGCAGTTGCGGGCGCGGGAGCGGGCGGTGCGGGCCTGCTTGCGCTGCAGCTGCAGCTGCAGGAACGACAGCAAACGGATGACGACGAAGGCGACGATGGCTCACATTACTTGGACTACTCGCACCAGCAATACGGCGGAGTAACTCCACCGGAACTGCCGCAGCGGAAGAAAAAAGCGGCGGTTTTCCGCGGATGGTCGTACCTGATCAAGGCGCTCTCCCGCGGGATGCGGAAGAGCAAGCAGCGCGGGCGCAGCCCCAGCCCTGACAAGCGCGAGCAGTACGCGGGGGAAGGCGCAGGCGGAGGCGCAACTCCGTCTCCGCCTCCACGGGCATTCGTGCGCGTGGGCGAAGAGGTGATCCCGGTGCAGCCCGGGCAGGTGCAGGAGCAGGTGCGCGCGCTGGAGCGGCGTATAAACTTCTCCGAGGAGGCGGAACCCCGGACGCCCGAGATGCGCGCACAAGCGCCTTACGGAACGGTTCAACCCGCAGTGGCGGATGGCGGAAGAGTTGCGCAAACTGGGGCAGAAGGGGGGAAGAAGGAAGGAGGAGTTGCGCTGGTGGATGTGGGGCGAGTGGGACTGGGGGGAAGCCGCGGAGCGGCGCAAGGGGAAGGGGGCGCGCGGGCCAGACCCGCGCTTGTGGGGAGTTTGCGCTCATGGAACAACGAGGCGGAGGAGGAAAAGCGCGATTTGGGAGACACGGAGCAAGCGGGGGAAGAGACTGCGGAGGCGGAAGGGGAGCGGAAGCTTCGCGCTGGCGCTGCGGCTGCTAAAGCGGCTGCGGCTGAGGGAAAGAGTGATTCCGCCTCCTCGTCGGCAGTTACACCGGCCATCGGGTGGGGTATGGGGTTCAGAAGCGCGCGCATGGTGCTGCAAGCGCAAACTACGGGCGGGGAAACAGAGGAGGCGGAAGAGGACGAGGAGGAGGAAGGAGAGGCTGCGGACTCGAAACGCGCGGAGGTAGAAGAGGAGGAGGGGGAGGCGGAAGGAAAGGCGGATACCGGGGAGGGGAAATCGGACGTCGTGGAAACGGCGAGCGCAGCTGGAGTGGCAAGTGCGGCGGACGTGCAAGGCTACGCGGCTCTTGCGGACAGAATTGATGTCGAGGATGTCACTAGCGAGGACGAAGCCGACGCGGGAATCCCAGCGGTACACGAGGAGGAGGACGAGGAGGAGGACGAGGAGGAGGAGGAAGAGGAGGGGGACGGCGAGGAGGAGGAGGAGCGGATCCGCGAGATGCTGCGCAGCGGCGTGGGCGCGGGCGTGTTGCGCGCGAGCGGGAACTGGCTGGAGCAGGTGGCGGCGGCGGAGCGGGACGGCGCAGTGGACGTGGCGGCGCGGCTGCTGGAGCTCGCCAAGGAATGCGGCGCGCAGGTGGGGGAAGGGGGGGGAGAAGGGGAAGGGGGAGGGGACGGGGAGAAAAGGGAATGGGAGAGAGATGGGAAGGGAGAAGAGGACGGATGGAAGGGGATTGAGAGAGAGTGATGAAGTGGACGGGTGGGGTTGGTTTAGGAGGAGGTGATGGTGGTGATGGGGGAATGCATGAACGTGGATGGATGGCATGGGGGGGGACAGAAGTACCAGGCCTTGGCTTGGATTTCATCATGGCTTTCTTCCTTTCCTCCTCTTACCTCCCCTTTCTTCCTCTCTCCCTTCCTTTACCCCATTCTCTTCGCCCTCCCGCTGCTGCCGAACCCTATCCTCTCTTCCTACCGTCGCGCACTTCGTCCCCAGCCCTTACTACAGGGGAATTTACGCTTCGATGGGCGTGGCTGGAGCGGACATGCGCCATGCACCACGCCACGCCACGCCCTGTCGCTCGCCTTACATCTCACCCCTCTCCCTTGCTCACCTCTTCAATTTTCTTTCGCAGCCCCTGCCCTCCTCCTCCCCTTCTCGCTCTTCCTTTTACCACTTCGACGCTTCTCCCATTAAACATCTCCCTTCCCCTTGTCGCCCACTCTCCTCCACTCTCTCTGCCCCCAGCCGGAGCATGAGATCGACGAGGCTCGAGCGGAGTTCTACCAGCGCCACACGCACCTGCGCCGCCCCGCTTCTCTTCCTTCTCCTGCCCCGGCTGAAGCTGCCGGTGCTGCGGCTGCAGCGGTTTCTGCTGCTCCTGCCTCGGTGATCGAGGAATGGCGGGACGGCGAGGAGCAGCAGAGCGGGATCGATATGGAGGTCGAAACGGAAGCCGCAGCGGCAGCGGCAGCGGCAGACGCAGGTAGCGGCGCTACGCCAGAGCAGTTCGGTGGTGTGAGCAGCGATGGCGATGCTGGTGCAGAAGGAGGGTGTGTTGAGCAAGAGGAGGCTGACGCATGGAACGAGGCAGAGGCGGCGAGCGCTCCTGCTCTGACCCCTGCTGAAGAGCAAGGGACTCAGACTCGTTGTGAAAAGGAGGAGGAGGAGGAGGAGGAGGAGGAGGAGGAGGAGGAGGTGGTGGTGGTGGAGAAGGAAGAGGAGGAGGGTGGCGGCATGATGGTAGAGGGAGAGGAGGAGGTTGTGGAGGAGGAGCAGGGGGGAGTGGAGGAGACGATGGTGATGGAGGGGATGAACCTAGAGGACTTTGTGAAGGCCACAGAGGAGGAGGAGGATGAGGGCGAAGAAGGGGAAATGAAAGGGGAGAAACATGAGGAGGGGGAGACGGAGGAAGAATCACTGGAGAATGAGGAGGTTGTGATAGAGGCGGTAAGGGAGGAGGAGCAGGAGGACGATGGGGAGGAGGAAAGCTGCTCTGCTGATGATGCTGTTGACGGTACTGATGCCGCTGCTGTGAGTTTTAGGCCGTGTCCGGGCAGTGCTGACGCTCAGGAGGATGTTGACCTCTCCGCGCTGCTAGCCCTGGCTGCGGAGGACCCTGCGCCAGACACGGAGCAGGAGCAAGTGGAGGAGTGGGGGAGGGAGGTGGAGGTGGAAGAAAGATGGGCGAGAGAGAAGTACGAGTGGGCCGGGGAGCAGGAACAAGGAGCGGTTGTGATGGAGGATGGGAGGGAGGAGGCGGACGAGGACGTGGCTTCTGGCTCTGCTTCTCCCGCTGCTTCTCCCGCTGCTTCTCCCGCTGCTTCTCCCGCTGCTTCTCCCGCTGCTTCTCCCGCTGCTTCTCCCGCTGCTTCTCCCACTGTTTCTCCCGCTGCTTCTCCCACTGCTTCTCCTGCTGCTTCTCCTGCCGCTTCTCCTGCCGCTTCTCCTGCCGCTTCTCCTGCCGCTTCTCATGCCGCTTCCCCTGCCGCTTCCCCTGCCGCTTCCCCTGCCGCTTCTCCTGCTGCTTCCCCTGCTGCTTTCCCTGCTGCTTCCCCTACCGCTTCTCCTGCTGCTTCCCCTGCCGCTTCTCCTGCCGCTTCTCCTGCCGCTTCTCCTGCTGCTTCCCCTGCTGCTTTCCCTGCTGCTTCCCCTACCGCTTCTCCTGCTGCTTCCCCTGCCGCTTCTCCTGCCGCTTCCCCTGCCGCTTCTCCTGCCGCTTCTCCTTCCGCTTCCCCTGCCGCTTACCCTGCCGCTTCCCCTGCCGCTTCTCCTACTGCTTCCCCTGCTGCTTCCCCTGCCGCTTCTCCTGCCGCTTCCCCTGCTGCTTCTCCTGCTGCTTCCCCTGCCGCTTCACCTGCCGCTTCTCCTGCCGCTTCTCTTGCCGCTTCTCCTGCCGCTTCTCCTGCCGCTTCTCCTGCCGCTTCTCCTGCCGCTTCTCTTGCCGCTTCTCCTGCTGCATCCCCTGCTGCTGCTCCTGCTGCGCCGCCGTTCTGCGACCTGACGGCGTCACTTGAGTTTGACATGCTGCTGTCGTCCGTGGAGTTCCTGTCGCCCACCCATTCGCTGCGACTGTCCGCTGCTTCTGCTGCTACGGGTGCTGCTGATGGGGCGTTGGGAGCACATGCTGCGGCCGACGAAATGGATGCTGCTCTTTTCCTTAGCTTTGAAACCTCTTCTGACGCTGATGCTGATGCTGATGCTGATGCTGATGCTGATGCTGACGCTGATGCTGATGTTGCTGCTGCTGCTGATGCTGCTGATGCTGCTGCTGCTGCTGATGCTGCTGCTGCTGCTGCTGATGCTGCTGCTGCTGCTGATGCTGCTGCTGCTACTGATGCTGCTGCTGCTACTGATGCTGCTGCTGCTGCTGATGCTGATGCTGATGCTGATGCTGATGCTGATGCTGCTGCTGATGCTGATGCTGATGCTGATGCTGCTGCTGATGCTGATGCTGCTGCTGATGCTGATGCTGATGCTGATGCTGATGCTGCTGCTGATGCTGATGCTGCTGCTGATGCTGATGCTGATGCTGATGCTGATGCTGATGCTGATGCTGATGCTGCTGCTGATGCTGATGCTGATGCTGATGCTGATGCTGATGCTGATGCTGCTGCTGCTGCTGATGCTGCTGCTGATGCTGATGCTGATGCTGATGCTGCTGCGCATGCCGCCCCTGAAGGCCCCGTTGAGGCGGAGGAGGAGGTGGAGAAGGAAGCGGTGAAGGGCGGAAGTGGTGAGGAGGAGGTGATACATGGCGTTGATGTGGCATGGCTGGTGGACGGTGGGGGGGTGCAGGAGGAGCAAGAGGAGGAGGAGCGGGGAGAAGAGGAGGAGGAGGATGAGGAAGAGGAGGAGGAAGCGAGTCATTTGAGCAAGGAGCAGGAGGAGAGTGAGTCGTCGCAGGCGACGGTGGAGGAAGTGTCGGCATGGGAAGAAGTGAACGGAGGAAGCTCGGAGACCGGGGCTGGTGGGATGGGGGAGATGCACGAGTCAGCTGCGGTAGACGAGGAGGAGGAGGAGGTGGAGGAGGAGAGCGATGACGAAGCAGGTGGGGAGGAGTTTGAAGAGTTTGCAGTGGATGCTGCTGCCGTGCATCATGAGCAGATGCTGACGAGGGAGGAGGGGCATTGTGAAGGGAGAGAGGACGAGTCGAGAGAAGTGGAGGGCGAGGAGGGAGACGAGGAGACGGATGGGGATGTTGAAGATGCAGTGGCAGCAGAGGCAGTAGCAGCAGCAGCTGCCGCTGCGTGGTGGGAAGTTGAAGCTACTCCCTTGACAGAAGCACACGCAGACGTGCAGACGGAGGAGGCTGAGAGGCTCGAGGCCGAGAGGGAGGTTCGACAGCTATTGGTGCTGGACGAAGAGGAGGAAGAGGAGGAGGCGGAGGAGGCGGAGGAGGGGGAGGCAGCGGCTGAGGGGTGCTTTGAGACGTCTCAAGCCGTTCCGGAGGGGTTGGAGGAGGTGCGGGAGGAGGTGCGGGAGGAGGTGCGGGAGGAGGTGCGGGAGGAGGTGCGGGAGGAGGTGCGGGAGGAGTTGGGAGGTGAATGCGGAGCCTCTCTTGCGGACGATCACTTGAGCGAGTCGGATGAGCCGTCGTCCTCGTCCATGCTCCTTGACCTTGCGTCTGGGATTGGCCAGGAGGAAGCTGCTGCTCCAGCTGCTGTGACTGCACCACATGCAGAGGCTGCTTCTGTCGACGCCGTTACTGCTGCTACCTGTGTCAATGCTGTAAGCATCGATGGTGCCTTGGACACTTCACATGCTGACGCTGAGCCATCCCTGTTAGATGTCCCCGTGGCCGAAGCCTCAGGAGGCTCGGAAGGAGAGGCAGAGGCAGTGGAGAGCGGAGAGGAGGGTGGAAGTGGCGCAGAGGGCGAGGAAGCTGGCGTGGTGGCAGTGGGAGGCGTGGACGTTTTGGAGCACGAGGAAGAGGAGGAACGGGAGGGGGAGGCGGCGGCGGCGGGTGAGAGGTTTGAGATGTCTGAGATGTTGACAGACGAGACGGGAGGCGAGGAGAACGACAGGGATGGGGGAGAGGAGGGGGAGGAGGGAGAGGAGGGAGAGAAGAGGCCAGAGGAGGAAGCTGAAGGGTTGTTGGAGGTGGTGGTGATGCATGATGAGGGGGAGACGAAGGACGCGCAGGAGGGAGAGGCGGAGGAGGAGGAAGTGGAAGAAGAGAGGGAAGAAGAGGAAGGGGAGAAAGAGGAGCAGGAAGAGGAGGCGGAAGCATACGTGGCAGAGATTTCGGATGTGGAAGTTGGGGCGTCAGGTGCGGTTGAAGACACGAGCCTATGGTGGAAGACAGAGGAGAGCGCAGCAGATAACACAACAGAGCACGAGGCTGACGGCGAGGCAGACTTGGCGGGGGTGGAGGCACGCGAGGTGGAGAGCGACGAGGAGGAGGAGGAAAGTGGGGAGGAGGGAGGGAGGGACGGAGGGAGGGAGGAAGAGGAGGTGGAGGTGGCTGGTGAGTTGTCGCTTCTCACAGGGGATGGTGTGATGGGAGAGGAAGAGGTGGAAGGGGGGGAAGAGACTGTGGCAGTGGGAGTGGAAGAGGCAGTTGGGGAGGGAGAATCAGTGGCGGAGGAAGGAAGAGTGGAAGAGGAGGGGTTGCGTGAGGAAGGGGAAGAGGTGCAGGAGCAGGTTGACAGGGAAACAGGAGTGGACATGCATGACGCGGTGCTGCTGGCAGGGAAGACGCACGACGTTGGGAACGCGCATGCAATGGAGGAGGCGGAAGAGAAGGCGGGGGAGGAGGTGGAGGAGGAGGTGGAAGCAGAAGGAAGAGTGGCAGAGAAGGCTGCGGTTACGGCAGGCGAGGAGGAAATGGAGGAGGAGGAGGTGGCAGTAGAGGAGGAGGTGGTGGTAGAGGAGGAGGCAGATCTGGATCTGGAGGCCCTGGTTGAAGCGTTCGGAGAGGATGGTGACGGGGACGAGGGAGTGGGAGAGGACGAAAAGGAAGAGATGAACGAGGTGGAAGAGGAGGAGTGGGAGTCCGCGATGCAAGGGCTGGAGCAAGCCGCAGAGGAAGTGGCGGCAGAGGAGGTGGAAGCGGAGGAGAGAGAGGAGATTGATTCAGAGCAGGAGGAGGAGGAGGAGGAAAAGGCAGAGGGAAGAAGGGAAAGCGGGGTGAGAGATACGGTGGAGGACGAGAGTGAGGCGACGATAGCAGAGGAGGATGAGAGTGAGCAAGTGAACGGAGTGGAGGGGGGCAAAGAGGAGGCTGCAGAGGAGGAGGCGAGTGTGGAGGAGGTTATCGAGAAGGTGGTAATCGAGGAGGAGGTGAGTGAGGAGGAGATGAAGGAGGAGAAGGTGAGTGAGGAGGAGATGAAGGAGGAGAAGGTGAGTGAGGAGGAGATGAAGGAGGAGAAGGTGAGTGAGGAGGAGATGAAGGAGGAGAAGGTGAGTGAGGAGGTGGCTTGTGCAGTGCGGGTAGAGGCGGATGAGGAGGTATCCGAGGGAGAGAGGGACGTGGAAGGAGCAGAAGAGAGGGGGAGTGGCGGCGAGGGGGAGAGAGAGAGTGGAGGAGAGGAGGGAGAGAGCAATGCATTGGTGGAAGCAGCTGGTTGGGATGAGACCCAGGTTGGTGCGGCGGAATGGGCACGCACAGAGCGAATAGAGGAGGAGAAGGTTGAGGAGGAGGAGGTGGAGGAGGTGGGGGATGGGGAGGTGAGAAAGGAAAAGGGAGAAGTAGAGGAGGGGGAAACGGGAGTAGGTGGTTTGCGGGATAGTGTGAGTCTGGTGGGTGTGGACGAGTTGATGATGCTGATGGAGGAGGAGGAGGAGGAGGAGGAGGAGGAGAAGCACGTGCGATCAGAAGAAGACGGAGAGAAATCCGAGATGGAGGCGAGGGAGGCGGAGAGAGGGCCGGAGGGGGCAGAGGAGGTGGAGCAAGAGGTGGAGGTGGGGGCGGAAGAGGAGGAGAATACCGTTGTTGCTGAAGGTTTTGAAGAGGAGGGTGCATGTGCGGCCGTCATTCCGACCAGCCTTGCTGCAGCCGGTGTTGCTGCTGCCATCACCTGTGCCGCCAGTGCTACTCCTGACGCTGCTGCTGCTGCGTCCCCTGCGCCTCCTGTTGCTGCTGCTGCCGTCGCTGTTGTGGAGAAAGCAGGCGAGGTGGGAGAGGAGAAGGCGGAGGAAATGGTGGAGGAGGGCGAGGAGGAGAAGGTGGTTGCAGAGGGGATAAAAACAGCTGAGGCAAGGTGGTTGGAGAAGGAGGCGCTACCATCGGAGGGTGATGAAGCCTCTTCGGCAGTGGAAGAAGCAGTGGCGGAGAAATGTTCAATTGCCACTGCCCCTGCTGCAGAAAAGAAGGAACCGCGGGTGGAGGCAAGGGAGGAAGCAAAGGAGGAAGCAAAGGAGGAAGCAAAGGTGGAAACAAGAGCCCAAGGAGCAGAAGCCCAGGGGAAGGAACCTGGAGAGGAGGAGGAAGGGAGGAAGCAAGGGTGGGAGGCATCGGGGAGTGTATGGGATGACGAGGACCTAGAGAGTGGTGATGGGCATCTGAGTGACGTGCTGGGGCCCATGAGCCCGCCCTCCCACCCCACTTCTCTGCCCACTTCGTGCCCCACGTCGCCCCCCTCTCGCCACGCGGTCTTCCCCACTGATCGGCTTCCTGGTGGCAGCTTCTCAGGCCGAACCAAGCACACTGCTGCTGCTGCTGCTGGTGCGGCTGCCGCTCCTGCTGCTGGTGCTGTGCCTGCTGCATCTGCAGGGAAGGGGGGGGCAGCGATGGACGAGGAGCAGCGGAGGAGGGCAGAGGAGGCGGAGGACGAGGCGGCATGGGAGGCGCTCATTCAGAGCGAGATGGACTGGGAGGTGGTGTATGGGGGGTACCTCACAGGAGGGAGTGCGTCGGGCAGTGTGTGCAGCAGCAGGCGAGGCGCCATTGCAGCAGCAATAGCAGCCGGAGGTGGTAAGGGACGAGCCCTGATGGATAGCTGCATGCGCAGCAGTGGAGGCAGCACCACGAGCAGCATTGCGGCAGCGGTTGCTGTTCTTGCTGCTGCTAGGAGATCAGCTGCTGCTGCTGCTGGTCCTGCTGCTGCTGGTCGTGCTGCTGTCCCTTCTCGTGCCACTCCGTCTGCTGGTGCTCCTGGTGCTACCACTGGCTTTGGTGCTGGTGCTGGCGCTGATGTCGGCGTTGGCGCCTGTGGTGGTGGTGGTGCTGCTGACGGTATGGATTGTGGTGCCAGTGAGTGCGGCAGCAGCATCAACTGGCAGCAATTCGACACGGCCAGTATGTACGAGTATGAGCAGCAGCAGCAGCAGCAGCAGCACAAGAGCCCTCTAGTGCTCGCAGCTGCAGCTGCCAAGTCTGCTGTGGAAGCGGCCAAGGCAGCAGGAGGAAGAGCAGCAGGTGGTGGTGCAGCCAGAGGAGCAGGCGCCAAGGCAGGCATGAGAACTCAAGCCCAACCGCACCTGCAGCAGCAGCAGCAGTTTCCCCGCTCTAGCAGTGCGGATCGAGCAAGCATCCGGCAGAGAGCCAACCCGCACCAGCAGCAGCCATTCTCCTCTCCCAGCCGTGTCCTTTCCAACGTCAGCGCCAGCAGCGGTAGCACCATGAGCGGTGTCAGCGGGTCGGGATACAGGCAAGGCAGCTACAGCATCAACAACAACACCACCAGGGGCAACACCATGGGCAGCAGCGGCAGCGGTAGCACACGGGCGTCGCCTATCCGTCTGGGTGCAACCCGGGGAGGTACTGCCTCTCTCTCTGCCCGCCACTACCCAGCTTCTGCTGCTGGGTCTCCCCTCCTCTCCTCCTCCGCCCGCACTTCCCCCAGACCATCAGGAGCAGCAGCAGCTGCTGGTGCTGGATATTCACGCGGGTCGCCATCCCTCACCCCCTCCCGCTCCCTCACCTCCTCATCGCCTGTCTCGGCAGCAGCGGCTGCTGCAGCAGGGCGCAGGGGGGGCAGCGCAGGAAGGGCGCGGCAGCAGCCGCAGAGTGCTGCAAGCTGGAGGTCGGCAGCGGCAGCAGCAAAGGCAGCAGCCATGGCTGCAGCGGTGGCTGCTGGCAAGGCGGATATGCTGATGTTAGAACCCGCGGAGGAGAGCACCAACAACAGCTCGGCTTACTACCCCGGCAGTGCTGCTACTGCTAGCCTTGCAGCAGATGCTGCTTCTGCTGGTACTACACCTACTGCTGGTGTTGCTTCTGCCGCTGCTTCCTTCTCTGCTGCGGGCGATGGTGCTTCGGATGTTGACGCGTTCGAGACCTCGTCTGTGGCGTCGGCAGCTACGTCAACGTTCAACGCGGCGACATCCGCCGGCGCGTTCATGGACTTTGGGGCTGGCAGGCGGCGCCCTGACCTCCGCATTGACACCACCAGCTGCAGTCTCGAGCAGCTGCAGCAGCAGCAGCAACAGGCCGGGGGAGCAGTCTCAGTGCCAGCAGGAGGAGCAGGAGGGGCGAAGGGACGGCCCAGGGCAGCAGATTCTGGGGGGCTGTGGCCGTGGGAGGATGCAGGGCCTGGGATGGAGGCACTACTGGGAATGGAGGCCGAGGAGAAGGGGTTCCTGTTGGATGAGCCCTTGTCCCTCTATGGCTGCAACACTGCCCCTGCTGCTGCTGCTGCTCTGCATGCCTCTGCTACGCAACCATGCAACCAGAAGCAGCAGCAGAGGCAGCTTTCTATGTCGCAGGTTTCACCGAGAATCGGCCGTGGATCATCAGCATTTGTGGGGGCGCATTCGCTCTCTGCTGCTGCTTCTCCACGGTCCGCCACTGCAGCTGCTGCCGCTGCTGCTGGTGGGTTTGGAATCACTGGTGGCATCGGCAGTGGCGGCATTGGCGGCATTGGCAGCGGTGGGATCTCCTCTGCAGCCAGCATTGCTGCGGCCATGTCCCCTCGTGCAGCCAGTGTGTGTGGCAGCAGCACTGCTTTCCTCAACCCTGCCACTGCCTCTGGTCTGATCAGCCCAAGGTCCACAGGCATGCTCAGTCCCCGTGCGAGCCTCTCCCAGTCCCGCTCCTTCTCTCACTCCTACCACCACCACCCGTTTGCCGCCCCTCCTCCTGGTATTGACGACCCTGCTGGAACCATGCAGGCAGTTGCAGAAGCAGCTGCTGCTGCCACTGCAGTGGCGGCTGCTGCTGCAGCTGCAGGCCCCAAGGCAGGGTACGGTGGAACAAGGACCGGGGGAGCAGGAAGAGGAAACGGGCTGAACGGGCTCGGTCGCTCGCCTGTTCGGGGAGCAGGTGTGGGACGAGCAGGACTGGGTGCTGGCAGTAACAGCGGTGTGGGGATGATGGCTGATGAGAGGAGGCGGGCGTCACCGGTGCCTGGGGGAGGAAGGGGACGGGGAATGGTTGGAGGAGGCGCAGGCGCCAGCTCACCTTCCCTTGCGTCCAGGTCAACATCATCCATGCATGCTCACTCGGCGTCCCCGCACGGGGTTCGCGGTAGAGTTGGTGGTGGCGCAGGAGGTGGTTTTGCAAGCAGCAGCAGCGTCGGCGGCGGCAGTGCGTGGGCCGCCAAGCCTCCCAGTCCGCGCAGTCCAAGCCCGGGAGACAGACTTCCGTGGGGGGGAGCACCAGGTGGGGCAGCAGGCGCAATGGGGCGTGGACGTGGTTCACCAAGGCCAGGTAAGACAAGCATGGAATGAGTGGGGTATAGGTTTATGAGAGAGGGGAGATGCAGTGAGGGAGTCAAAATTGCATGCACTTATCGTGTTTTGAGGCCAAAACTCAAAACAGTTTTGTGTGTTATTTTTCCATGGCATATCAAACCATCACATCTCTTTGTTGCCGCTGACAAATATGGTTTGCATCGCAGCTCCCACACAAGTGCATCATTATGCAGTTTACCCCCCTCCCCTGCTCAACTATCAGGAAGGAAACTATCTGCGCCCACCACATCATCAAGACTGATTTAGCTTGATAGTGCCAATTATGTTCCTGCATCGCTGATGTTTGAATTTATGCTGGGGAAACCCCATTACGTATAGGTTAGTTGCTGTAAACTTTTATATGTATGGTTAATAATGCCAGTTGTAGTAGGTACCGGTAATATAGAAAGCTTCTGAGCTTTAAAGGGAAAAAAATGGGAATATACATTCAAATTTGAATTTACATATTTTAGGGATGAATTGAACTATACAACGTATACATCCACACTCGTAACATAGCATACAGACATAAATGTTGCAAACATTTTCGTCACCTCGTGAACAGCTCGAAATTTCGCGCCTCGCGGCTTGAAATGTTCGCGGCACATAATAATATTTCCCCCACGCACGCACGTCGTAACACGAAGCACTATCACTACATGAAGCATAAACAGTGTCCCCCCAACAAGTACCTGTAGCAAGTCTTGTTGGAATATTTATGCTATGCACGCACAACCTCGTTTGTGACTCGAGGGTTTACGCGCGACTCGTTTAATTAGCTTTTGTGACACCTTTCGAGACACATTTTCGAACTATTGACATTCGACTCACAAAACGGGCAAGTTCAAAACGTATTGCAACGAGCCAGTCAGTCGGATCAGCTGGTAACTGGCGGACTGACGGCGAGGGGGAGAGTAGAGTGAGTTCGGGCGGCCGGTTTGGCTCGTCGTAACCCAGGTCGCCGGCACGACGTTTGAGGAAGCGTCGACTGGGTGCATTGCCAGGGGCGGGCAGGAGCATCGTCGCTCCGTCCGCTGAGCTATACAGACCAGCGACGTGCTGCGTTTGCTTGCTGCTGTAATCGTTGTGCCGAACCTGGTTTCCCGCCAGAACTCGGCCCCATTGCTGCTTTGTCGCCATTCAGTTACTGGAGATATTTTTAAAGACTCAGTCCAGATGTAGTTGTGAAAACGTGCAGCCATATTCTGCGCAACCTTATCGACAATGCAGTAAACGAGCCTGGACTCATCGCATATGCAGTTCGCCGCTGCGGAGTTCCGTGATACTCGCCCAAGTCTCTTCGGACGAGCCCTCTCCCCGTGGCTACTATCATCAGATACATTATTAGTGGTGCATCCTTCCTCCCGCACCCGCATACCATGCCTTTTTCGCCCTGCCAGTCACCGTCGCCAGGCTTCCGGGCGGCGGTTTTTTCGCGCCGTGGCGCCTCTCCGCGTCTGCTCGTGCCGCTCCTGCTCCTCTCACTCAGCGTCTTGCGGATCCACGCGCGTCTCGGCGCCGAGATCGGCGTTGCGGACGTCCTGCCTTCCAGCAGCATTTCCGGAGACGTCGCAGATCGGCCGTTCCACTCGCAATCACTCAAGGTAGTACCACTACGCATGCGAGTTGGAGCCAATGCTGGTTGCAGTGCTGGAACAGCCGCGCGACGATGTCGCGCTAGATGCCCCGCATCCCAAATTTGTTCGGCGAAAATACTAAGTAAACACAATGTCGACACACTGAAACTATGTAGTGCGCACATTGTACTGACGGACTATGTAAGTATAGGTTCTGCGACTTACAAGCTACTCTACACCTGGCAATAAGGTACGTACTATGTGGATACTCAAATTTTGAGTAGAATGTACATTGTGCATATTTCTCATATAGAAAGACCGTACTCATACCATCCTGATACAGTCTGTACGAAGTTCACGCAATGACTCTACTGCTTGAGGAACCTGAAGTCAGTACATTGTACAAACTATGCCCTTATTATGTGAGTACTATGTCCTTATAACGTGACTACGTTATAGGTTTTTCAAGCGCATTGTTGCGATATTTTCTTTTCGTTTCAGGTTCCCGCTTTTCATCATATGGTGAGACATGTCACTGAATCGCATATATTAAACAATATTTACACGATTACACATTTACAGAAACGACGAGGACAGTCTCCACAATAACCATAACACCTATGTGTCTTCACACTAAAGGACTCTCGTACGTGAGTGAACTTGGAAGTGACGAGGTCTCAATCCATCCCTGCAAAAACGGGAAACAAAATTCTACATTAAATAACGTCGCTGGAAAAAGGCTGAAAGTGAAGATAAGTAAATAGGGTATGCTACCTGGACAATCAGGTCGCCGTCAAATCCACGTCGCGTTGCGTATGCGATTTATAGCCACGACAAGAAACCACGTCCACTTAGACAGTGTAGTCGCCTGCAAAACCAGGGGGCGCTAGTGTTGACAACGGCCCAGATACAGCAAGAAAAGTTGTAGTCATGCTTAAAAACTGTAAGGTTCTGAATGAAGAAACCCGACAAGAGCGAAGTAGCCGGTTAACCAGGATACATGACAGCAACTAAGGCTGAAAGGATAGGCATAAGGGAAAGACAAGAACTTGAAGCATAATGGAGCTAGGAAAAGGGACTAGGGGCTGAAAAAACGGTCGTAGTGGAAAACTAACTGGGATGGAAGCAAACCAAGAGACCTAGGAATGAGGGTTGGGTTGGTGCTTGCGTTGGCATATATGGCGTGACTGCTTGCCCGAGATCAGATTGTGATGGAACATCGACCAATCAAAACAAGGCTGCATTATCTGTGCTGCCAAGTCAGTTCATCTTTCGATCCTAACCACCGGTACCTGATCAATCGACGGCTGTTGCATCACGAAGGACCAGGAGTCATAGACGACTGAGATTCCAACTAGACACACCTCACTTGTGATCTTAACCATACAACACCTTTAATATCGACGGCTGAGTATCCAAACTACAATCTGCTGATCGACGGTCGTCATTCCAACTTGGAACAAATATCTCAGGCTCAATCGTCACCGTTCCCAATTGTTAACATCAACGGTCCAGATTCCAACCTGGACAAATTTGGCCATTGACCTGATTGTAATCTTGTCTGTTCATGAGTACTCGCATCGACGGACATCCTTTCTTTAGCTACCACACTCAGACAGTCCGGGTAAACTCGTGCAAAAACCCAACAGCAAATTTTAGTAGATACGAAGTCAGGACACTGTAGCGAGTCGTTTGCCATGGCAAGGTATCTACCGTATCAGCAGCTACAAAGTCGACACCAAGAGAAATATGGTACAGACTGAGATTTTACTTTTGACAAAGTACAATGTGTTGAGTTTATTCGGGGGTATTTGCTGTGTGCGAGGTGGCTATAAAACTACCCTTGTACAACTCATCAACAATGCATCGACTTCGACATTACTTTGTTCCTGGCACCAAGGTGGGTACTTCAACTCCAAATACGACTTCTCTCCCGAACGATTTTTGGGATGCGCGCTAGCAGTAAAGTCGCTGGAGGTTGTAGCAACCTGCGTGAGCAATCCTGGGACCCCAAGCACCGAATAGAACAAACGGTTTCATGGAAATGATGCACTCTTTATATAGTACGGTCTATCATTGCGTAATCTAGTACATCTTCAACGAATTTTGCTGGTAATTCTCCCCCCCAAATTTCGTTGTGCCGAAATTTTCCAGCATGATCTCTCCGCTAGCAGCGGCGGAAAGGGGGCGGCCAGCACGACGGGCGCGGGGCGCGACGGTGCGGAGTCGATTGCGGAGTGGCGGCGCCGATCAGCGGAAGCGGGCGCACACTTCTTCCCCCTGCAGCGCGCGGAAGACGCCCCCAGCAGGGACGAGCTGCACCGGCGGATCCTCGGAGTGAGAGGGTGGGGCGTGCAGAGAGCGCCGGGGACGTTGCGGCTTGAAATGTCAAATCACGATATGCCCGCCTCTACACTGCGGGAGATATGGCGACAGTACACGGGATTGCACATGACGCTGTTGCAATATTGCACATGATGATATTGCGTATCATCGAGTAGACAACTACACAATAAGCCACTGCCATTCGCTGCATAGTGTCTTTGCGATTGACGTGCGCCAACGGGGTGTCATCATGACCTGATAATAACATCTCTCCCCACAATCCGTGACATGCGCAGGGCGTAGGGGGCGGATTGAAGGGCAAAGGGAAGTCACAAAGGGCAGCGAAGGTGAGAGAGCGCTCACGAAGGCGACTGTCGCTACTTGCATAGCACTCTCCTGGTAGGAGTGTGGTCTCAGGCAGTCGCTCGTGCCACGGCGGCACATGGCAGGTGACAGGTGACATTATCTGACCTTGCTGCCTTCCTTCCATTCGGCTGTTGGCCTTGCTGCTGCTCTCCGTTCTCATTCTCATTGTGTCCCGTCCCAGGTCTCTCAACCGCCATCGAATTCCCCCCTACGATCTGATCATATCTTTGCCGTGAAGCAAACATCCCGCAGCCCGCCTGCCTCTGCTTCTAACCGGCAGTCCTGCTGTTTGCGTCTCCGGTTGTACATGGTTCTTCCATTCACCTTGCTGCCTGCTTGCCTGCCTGCGTGCAGGCGACGGAGTATCTGCCGGTGCTGCAGTACGACAGCACGCTGCTCTCAACGGCCAACGGCACCCTGGGCAACACCATGGTCAACTACAGCACCTACCTCAACGACACGATCCGCCTCCCGTACGCGCCGTGCCGTGCCCCTCTCGCTGCATGCCATTCGCTTCATCCCTCTCGCTTCATCCCTCTCGCTGCATCCCTCTCGCTGCATCCCTCTCGCTTCATCCCTCTCGCTTCATCCTTCTCGCTTCATCCAACTCGCTGCACGCGTATATGCTGCTGCCCATCTCGTTCTTGTTCTCACCTCCATGCGAGCGATCTTGCCACATGCCAGCGCCTCCTCTCCCCCTCCTGCTCGCAACGCGCGGCTCTGGAACCCACTCCACCCACTTCCCGAAACCTTAAACTCCCTCTCTCCCCTCTCGGGCACCCATCTTCCCATACCCCAGCCCTTCACAAGTGCCATACCTTTCCATTTCCCTTCTCTCCCCTCTCACCCGCTCCCCGTTCTTCCGCCATCCTCTGCGGCCTTTCTCCCCTTTCCCCTCCCCTTCTCCCCCCCCCTCCTCCCCCGTTCCTCTCCTCTCATCCCCTCTCCTCCCCCCCACACCATCGCGCACATCTCTCCCATCTCCCCCCACCAGCGTGTACCCGTACTACGTGAATCTCAAGCTGGGGTCGCAGAAGCAGGAGTTCAGCATGGCGCTCAACGTGCAGCTGCGCCACACCTTCGTGCCCTGCGACTGCCTGCACTGCGGCACCTCGCGCAAGGGGGTGAGTGCGCTGCCGCAC